CTTTATTTCAATAATTAATTTGATGAGACTAATTTTTTTGTTTTATTTCCTTTCCTCAGATTCAATTTTTTTGGCTTCTTTTTGAAAAAAAATATTTTCTTTTATATATTAATGATGAAATTTACGATTTTTTCCAATAATAATTTTTTTCAATAATTGGAGCGTTTTGTGAGATGAGGGGAGGGGGGATATACAGGGAGATGAATTTTCAGTCACCAATAAATTCAGTGAACTGAAATCTTACACGCATCGAAAATTCTATTTCCCAGGCAAAGATGTATATATATATATATATGTGGATAATCACACAATGATAGTTCAGCGACCATAAAGCATGGGTGTCGATATACTATATAATGTAGAGATGAAGAGCCTAATGAAGAGGTGTTGAACCGTACCCTATAAACCCCCATTGCCAACGAGAACCAAGGGTCTCTCCTATATAATAATTTACAGTTCACTCATCAGTTACGGGTTTTAACCAATTACAGGATATTAACTCGAACGAAGGGATCAAAAACGGGGGTGGTTTTTGTATACATATATATATATATATATACTTCATATCATCTCTCGCATTTTATTGTCTATATAGATTTACATAAATTCCTTTTTTTACCAGTAAGGGACATTTTTGAGATTTTTACTTTGAGTAGTATTTTACTAAATTTTTATAAAATTTCTATATTTTAAATTTGTTTTTGAAATTTTTATTCTTTTTATTTATTTCGAATTTTCATTGTTTAGGTTCTATAATAAAAAAAAATTATTTGATTCAAATAATTTTATAATTAAAATAATAATAAATTGTAATAATAATTTTTTTTTTATAATCGAGATAATAATTTAGAGCTTTTTTACCACTAATAAAAAGTAGTAGTTTTCAATAAGCCAATTCAATAACAAATTTTGACCCCATTTGGGCAATAAATAAAAAAATCCCACCGCTGCCACCTATTGCGCAATTGTAAAGTATTTTTTGTATTTCTATTAGTATTTGTACCAATGTTTTCTGTATTTGAAGCAATAATTTTTTGAAACACATACCATTTATTTGACTCGAATATAATAATTATTTAAATACAAATAAAAAATCCCACCGCTGCCACCTATATAGCGCAATTGCGAAGTATTTTTTGTATTTTTATTAGTATTTGCACTAATGTTTTCTGTATTTGAAGCAATAATTTTTTGAAACAAATATACCATTTAATTGACTCTATAATAATTATTATTTAGTATAAATAAATATTTATTTGATAAAGTAATCGATTATTTGAAGTAAATAATATTTTTTTCAGTGTCAATTTACTAAATTTTAAATATTTGGAATTCGTTTTTGAAATTTAGGAATTTTTTTACAATTTTTTAATTAAATATTCCGTTTTATTTATTTTTTTTATCAACTTTTTTTTCTTTTTTTTTTTTTAATAAATATATATTTTGAAAGAAAAGAAAAAGACGAAAAAAAGCGACGTGCTTCTATTCTGATCTTTTCTCGCGATACCTGACGAGCCTTCTGATGTATCTACTGAATCTGTATCCTCTTCTATATCCATTAAGTTCTATATCATCCGAGAACCCTATTTCATCCCACTCAACTCTCGATATATCAAACGCGATGTGCCATAGCCGTTACATGGATGGACCCTATATAGAGTAGTGTCGACGAGATATTTTTGCATTGGAAAATTAGTTGAGCTGACGTGTTATAAAAGCGGAGAAGATTGGTGACAAAGAGATTGACATTGATCCGATACCTCTTTCTCTCTCTCTCTCTCTCTCTCTCTCTCTCTTGTTGAAAGAAAGAGTGAGAGAGTGATACGCTTCATGTTTTGAAAAGCAGACTTTCATTTCCTATTCACAATCAAATTTTAAAGATTTTTTTTTGTAGAACAAAACAACAACCGCAATATATATATATATATATATATATATATATATGTTCAAAATCCATCAAAATGATGGATAGAAAAAAAAATATTTCCAATATTAAAAATATGCTATCTCAATTTATTTTTCTGAAATGAATATTATTTTTCCACAGAATTTTTTTTAAAAAGTATTTGTATTAAATAATTATTATTTGAATCAAGTAAATAATATTTGTTTCAAATACAGTTTCTTTAATTCAAATAAAAATTATTTGGTTCAATATTTATTTTATAATAATCAAGTAACCAATTATCTAAATCGAATCAATTATTTTTTTTAGCAAATATATTTAATATATTATTTATATCAACTCTAATTAAACACAACTTTTTTTAATTAAAAATTCAAAATTTGAATTTTTTTTAGTAATTGATTCGAATTTTTCTTTTGAAAAAAAAAATAGGAACGAAAAATGGGAACAAAAAGAAATATTATTATAAAGGAAACGAATCGTTATAATTATTATATATATATTATGAATGAAACCGCAAATAAAAGTTTTCACTTCCTTGAGATTGGGATTACCAAAAGAATCATGAAGGGAAAAATAATCTGAATTCTGCGGTCAAGCGTGCGAACCTATATGTATATGCAATATGTGGTATATATCCTCAAACGATTTCACGCTTTCCTGAATTCCGCACCCGCGTTTCTCTCTCTCTCTCTCACGTTGAAGACAAAATTCAAAAACCGGAATCGCGGTAGAATGATTTATGCCATAAAGAAACACGCGATGTAGGAAAAAACATGATTTTCATTCGTTATTTTATTTTATTTTTTTTTTTTCTGAGGAGGGGATGTTGGAGAAGAAGCTTTTTTTACGGGGGTAACTTTTAGAATTTCGTATTAAAAAAGCATAAGGAGAGAGGCAACGACTTGAGAAACAGCATGACATCAGCCCCAGGTGTTAATAATCCTACCCTAATTGTCCCGACTCTTGAATAATTCCCATTAAACGTCTCTAAATCCTTGTTTGTATACAACCCCTGCCGCTCGATATATAGAGAGAGAACATTTTTAACACCTCTACATAGTATTAAAAAAAAAAAAAAAAGTAATGACGAAAGGCTTTTTTCTTGAAGAAAACCAAATGTATTTATTCACGCTTGATATTAATTTTAAATAAAAATAATTTTTTTTTAAAAAATAATTTCTTAATTCAAATAATTGCGATTCATAACATTTTGTTATATCTGCAAATAAATATTTAATTTATAAATATTTAATATCAAAGAATTTTTATTTTCATCAAAAAAAAAATCGTATTCGAATTTTATTTTTATTTATTCATATATTTTATATACAGTAAAAGAATTAATTATTTTAAACAAATTTTAATAGACTCAAATACAATAATTATTTGATGTAAAAAAATTATTTATTTTGTTAATAGTGAAGTAATTGATTGTTTGAATAATAATAAATTTTAATGAAATAAATAATTAAATAATAATAAATAAATAATTTAATAATAAATTTTTTTAATCAATAATAAATAATGCCCGATTAATAATAAATAAAATAATTTTTTACTTTTCTCTTTTATTTTTTGTGTCTCAGATTTTTATCACTCTCAAGGGGGATGATGTGCTCAAGATAGAATTTCCTATATACATTCATCCACATTGTAAGAGATTGAACTTGATGACGTGTTTGAGAAATTAGCTGACATTTTATAAAATTTATCATCATTTTTTTTTTTTTAAACATTTTTTGTTTGAAACATCAGAGATTATAAATTCATTGTTTTAATTTAAATTTCTTAAACGAAATAACGAAATAATAAATAAAAAAACAAATAATTTTTGTAATTGAAATTTGACTCAAAAATTATTTCGTTCAAGGAAATATTTATTAGTCAAGTAACCAATTAATTGATTCAAATAATTTCAGTGTATAATTAATTAGTTTCAATATTGTTTTAATTTAATTTAATTAAAAGAAGAATTTATATTTGTATCAAAAAAAAGAAAAATACGTAGTAGAAAAAAATTGTTTAAACATTTTTTTTTTAAATTCATGGTGGTATGAAATAAAAAAAATTTACTCATTTTTTCTTTTGTTCATATATCGATAAATTTATTGCATTGTAGTGACTTATATATTTACAAAGAGGGGGGGGGGGACACATACATACATATATATAATTTTCTACTTTTAATCATGTATAATATCTACATATAATTTATTTTTTCATATGTAGCTTTTTGCTTTAATGATTTTTGAAATTCATCATTATTGCAATTTGACTAAATTTTAATAATTGTATCATTTTATGATGGATCCTGATAAGAGCTTTTCTCCCAAAGTCAATGATCCCTGATTTATTTTTCAAAGTCCAAAACAAAAATTAACAAATTTAAAAATATTTAGCTCTTAATTATTTTTTTTGGCATATTCATTTATTTATAAAGTGGGAGTAAAAAATTTTCTATATTCTATTTTTTCATTGAGAAAAATGTTATTTGAGAAAAAAAGAAACAAAAATTCCATTAATATGTTTTTTCTTGATTTTATATAATTTTTTAGTAATTTTCAGGGAGTATTTCATTTTAGTCAAAAGTGTATAATAGTTTAAAAAAAAAAAAAATAATTTCAAGGTAATACTTTGTTTCACAAGCACGATCGTGCTTACATTTAATACAAATATTGGTTATTATCGATGATATTTTGTAAGTAATTTTTTTTTTTTTTTTTTTAATGGTAACGATAATAATGACCAACATTTTATTTTCTATCTAATTCTTAATTCTACTATCACACCAATTTATACACTTATCTAAATAATGATGTACATACGTCCTTTTTTTAATTCGTGTAATTATTTTATCAAAAAATTCATACACTGAAAAAAAATATTTTTTTTCTCAACAATTTTATTGAATATCTACTTTTTTTTTTAGTTAATTTATAACAATATATTTTTTAAACAAAGCCAAATGAGTTATTGAATTGAGTATTTTTGAGCGATTTAATGAAAAATAATTACACTTTTTTTTATATATATAATTCTCCGCATAAAATTATTTGATTTTTATATGACGATTATTTACAATTATTTACAGACAATTATATAACGCGGAAGTCAATTGCATCTCCTCCCCTGGTTATTAAAGCAAATCAGCAATCTCATTAGTGACGTGTCAGTGACAAAACGCCGTTCGGTGAGTAAATTATATTCATTTTGTTGATTCATCTTGAAACATATGTACGCATATTTTGATAGTTAATATCAAATTCAATTTGAAAATTAATCGATAAAATATTTATGCGAAAATTTCATTTTTAAACATTTACATAATTTTAATGAATACATTTTTTTTTATTTAGAAAATTTTTTTATCTTAAACATTTAAGAGAATTTTTTTTATTACAATATTCGCGTTTATTTTTGGAATATTCAATTGTGAAATAATGGAAATATTTACGAGAAACATTTTAGAAATATTTCCATATTTTATTTCTCAAAAGTTTTATAGTTATTGTGGAATATTTCAGGAATTTACTTGTGGAATGTTGTAGGAATATTTCCGGAATTCACTTGTGGAATGCTGTAGGAATATTGCAGAAATTTACATGTGGAATGTTGTAGGAATATTGTAGGAATTTACTTGTGGAATATTGTAGGAATGTTTCCGGAATTTACTTTGGAATATTGTAGGAATATTGCAGGAATTTACTTGTGGAAGGTTGTAGGAATAATGCAGGAATTTACATGTGGAATATTGTAGGAATGTTTCCGGAATTTACTTTGGAATATTGCAGGAATTTACTTGTGGAAGGTTGTAGGAATAATGCAGGAATTTTCATGTGGAATGCTGTAGAAATATTGCAGGAATTTACTTGTGGAATATTGTATGAATATTTCTGGAATTTACTTGTGGAATGTTGTAGGAATATTTCCGGAATTTACTTGTGGAATGTTATAGGAATATTGCAGGAATTTACTTTGGAATGTTGTAGGAATATTGCAGGAATTTACTTGTGGAATGCTGTAGGAATATTGCAGGAATTTACTTTGGAATGTTGTAGGAATATTTCCGGAATTTACTTGTGGAATGTTGTAGGAATATTTCAGGAATTTACATGTGGAATGTTGTAGGAATATTGCAGGAATTTACTTGTGGAATGTTGTAGAAATATTTTAAAGGAATATTGAAAGAATATTTTAGTGGAAATGTTTTTTTTTTTGAATATTGTGAAATATTTTTGAAATACTATTGTGGAATATAATAGAATTTTTTTTGTTGAAAATGTAGGAATATATGTTTTTTGGATTTTTTATAGGAATATTCTCGTGGAATATTTATATAGGAATTGTGGAATATTTTAGAAATATTTTTCAGAAGTGTAGCAATATTTTTTTTTGAAAAGGATTTAAATTATCAGAAGAATATTCTCATGGAATATTTATAGGAATAGTATTGTGGAATATTGTAGGAAAATATTTTTTTGTGGATTTCTGAAATCCAAATTGAAATATTCGCTTTGTCACTGACTTCATAAAAGCCCTTACTTTTATGTAATTACTCCGTAATTGTCAATCCAGTAAAAAAAAATTTTAAAGTGTTGTCCCACTAAGAATCTTTTTTGGATTGACAATTAAAGTCAACATGTTCGTCACTCAATTTTTTTTTTTTTTTTTTTTAATATTTCCCTTAATTTCTTCCCTTGCGGTATTTATATTTTTTTATCGTATATTTTTTTATATATATATATTTATCACTGCGCAAATGAAGATTAAATCTTCACTTGGAAGATTGAACAAGTGCACTAATATCCGAAGGATAACAAGACGATGATCCTATCATTAATGGATATTGATTTTTATTATTTCTCACATAGTGCACATTCTCTTGTCACAACATTTTACTTAAATAATTCGTTGAACCTGGCGGCGGCAGTAGAAATGGACCAACAAATGGATGATGACTTGTATTATGATGATGAACAGATGACGAATAACTCGCCTGTTGTCCATGATGATGATGATGATGATTTTGTGACGATGATGTACCTAAACCACTCATAACTGGTGAACCAGCGTCATGTAATTTTCTCATATGTTTTTTGAGATCAAAATTACGACAGAAACCCTTGCCACAAATTTTACATGAAAATGGCTTTTTATCATTGTGTGTATGCATGTGAAATGTTAAATTGTAAACCTGATGAAATGCCTTATTGCAAATACTACATTTATAGGCTTTTTCACCGCTATGAGTTAATTTGTGATTTTTATAATTGCCTTTTTGATGAAAACCCTTACCACAAAATTCACAAACAAATGGTTTATAATTGGCGTGAATTCGCGTATGTGTATTGAGTGTTGAACTACGATTAAAGGCTTTTCCACATGTTTGACATTTATGAGGTTTCTCAGCGGTGTGAATGATCTTGTGACGACATAGAGTGCTGGCCTGACGAAAACCCTTGCCACAAATCTTGCAAACGAATGGCCTTGCACCTGTGTGAACTGGCATGTGTCGTGTAAGATTGTAGTGAGCATTGAATACTTTACCGCATTCGTGACAAGTGAAGGTTTTTTGTTTTGATAATGTTTCGCGTGACGTTGGCGGTGAATGAGATCGTTTTTTCCCACGTTGACCATCATGATTTACAGTCACTAAAAGACGTGATGATTCTTGAAATGTAGGTGACGATGGTGAATGGGGTCTTTTTTTGACACGTTGAACATCGTGATTTAATCGTGAGGATTCTTGAAATGAAGATGGTGGTGGTGAATTTTGTGTTGTTGTTGATGATGTTGTTGGTGTTGTTGGTCCAGGACTTGGAAATGCACGTAACAGGGGACTTGGATGATAGTAAAGTAATGGATAGTGTTGAAGTAGACTTTGATGTCTTAATGTGGGAACATATTTTTTAAATGCTGATTCCAAATGCGCTGAATAGGTGAGAGGGGAAATATTTTGCGATTGTTGAAGTATCGTTACTGCGGTTGTATTTTGTTGAGATTGATTATTGCACTCGATTAGACGCTTGTCGGGTTCCATAATTTTGGCAATGGAGAATGTTAAATTTCGACATGGCGTTGGCGATGGTCCACGTTCTGGTGGTAAACTTGTTGGTGGATCTGTTGACATTGTGCTGCTCGTTGAAAATGGTTGCATTGTTGATCTGTAATGAAAAAAGAATTCTCATGAGAATTTTTCGAATGTTGAAACAAAATTGTTTTTGTATACTAAGAACACAGAAAATTATAAGGTATTAAAATAAGCTGCAACGCTTATTATTTTAATTAAATTTTGCTTATTTTAATACCAAAATGGATTAAAATAAGCAAAATTGGATTAAAATAATAAGCGTTGCAGCTTATTTTAATGCCTTTTAATTTTCTGTGAATTTGACTAATTTGCAGATAATTTGGTTTTCTGATTTTTATATTAGTTTTCTGAATTAAAATGTTTAAAGAAAATTTTTTTTGCTTTACATCGAGTCTCAGTGAATTTACAACTGTTCATTTTGTTTACAGATTAGTTATAGTTTGCTAAGTTGTTTGAAAAATTTTTTTTGCTTTACATCGCGTCTACATATAAATTTTGGTAAATTTTTGTTTTGTTCATTTTTCGGATTGGTTTTAGTTGCACGTTTCCGGAGTTGTAAAAATATTTTAGTATCGAGTCTAGTTGACATGAATTTCTGTAGAAATGCTACTACAGAATACAGAAAGGGAATTGCAAACAATTTCACATAAATATTCCTTCAATTGTTTAGAAGAAAAATAAACCAAAGGTATTTGGGATATTCCATAAAGAATATTGGTATAGAAAAATAAGTAATTCACTTTCACTTTTCCACTTACAACAACACAACCATGATGATAAAATTTAAAGTGCACTCCAAAAAAAAAAAGAAGAAATTGCTTTTAAGGTCGTAACATTTTTACGTATATATTTAAATTCCCGATTCACGTGAGTGGAACAACTTCCGTGTGTGCATGTGAATGTTCCGTTGGAGATTGACGATATAGAAGCTCGTGAAACTAACAGACTGCGAGGGGCCATGAGAGGGCGGTCACCTGACAAAGAGTGGGGCAAGGATCTTCCTTCCCACTGCCCTCCTACTTTTCAGATTTTTTTTTTTTTATTCTAAAAGACCAGCATTTGGAAAAAAAAATTCACCTTCCTCCTTAAAAATGTCACTTGTTCTTTGTTAAATTCTTGTTATTTTTTTTTTTGTTATCTTTGTTAATAGAATTGATTTTAAATTAGGAATATATAATAGATAATTAGGATACATAAAGCAACTTAAATAAATAAAAACATAAATAAAGCAACAAAAAGGGAATAAAAAGCAAGAGATGAAAATTGTATATATAATTTCGAGTCAAAAGTCTACTAAATATGAAATTGAAGACTATTTTTGAAGAAAGGTATACATATATATATATATTCTTTAAAGAAGAGACAAACATCTTGAGCATTATTTAGTTTTCCAGTCATGAATTAGAAAAAAAAGAATGTCTGTGTCCACATTTGTGAATAGTATAAAAGAATCTGGAAAAGTGGTAAGAACTCCGAATGTCTGAGCATTCATATTTGCGTATACTTTGGAGAGGTATATAAAGTTTTTATTATTTTTTTTCATCTCTCTTTTTCTCTTTCCTCCTGGACCTTGACGAATGAAGCATTATCCCTGAGGGTATGCAATTTGCACTGAGATCTCAGTATAGAGATATATTGTGTCTTGTAATCATTACACACATATATATGATGGACCTATATATATATGATGAACTATATATTCAGCGAAAAGGGCATGAATGGAAGTGAATGAGATGCAAAATGGTCAGCACGGTTGAAGAGCAAAGCTTCCCTGAGGTAGTGATATAGTATATACATATATATATATATATCTCAAGGTTTGCACGACGAAAGTAGAAATGTTTGCTCCGAGGAATGGCGTTATATTTGAACTTGGAATGACGGTTGAAATTGGTTGGTACCCCAATGGTTTATACATTGACTGTAAAATATTCTCTTGAAAAAAAAAACCTCTGAAGATTTAAATTTTCTTCTCTTTCCAATAATAGTTTCTGATAGAATTAATTTTTTTTTTTTGATTGATAATTGACGATATTCCAAAATTGAAAAGGTTCTTGATTAGGTTAAAGAAATTAATTTTCTTGAAGAGAAAAATAGACTGTTAAATCTTGAATGGCTTTTGTTTGGGTAAAGAATAATTTTAAAAATCTTAAACAACCTAGAGACCGACAATCTGGAGAGCAAGAAGGCTCTTGGGAGCTCCGCCTCTTTTGTAACTTTCAATTGTCCTGCACCGAAGCCAGCCCTAATAATCAGGGGGATGGTTAAAGAGGGTGAAGCATTCCCCCTGGTGAGAAATAGAGAGTCAAAGAGAGAAAGTGAATATCTCTCTTCTTCTCTTTTTATCCCCCTCTCGTGACGCCCCAACGGCCATAAAATGTGGCTTGAACGCCATACAACAGCGCAACTGTCGACTAAATACTGACAACAAAGCATATGATTATGTTGCATTCAAACTCCAAAATCTTACAATCCTCTATAGTAAATTGTCAACTTCAGATTTATGTATAATCTTCATAGAGAATATACTAAATTTTTAAATATTTTTTGAAAAAAAAAAATCATACCTGGAATTTCACGAAATATTTCTAATTAGAAAATTAATTCCCATTTTTAATTTGGAGAATTTGAATTAATTTTTTTAAGAATACAAAAATTGAGAATTTCTACCAGGTGAAAAATAGATTTTTTTTGGAAGAGAAAGTCACACAGTTGGGTTTAATGTGCAAAGTTTACTAACGTTGTTACGAATGGCCCGTCGATTTCAATCAAAGCCAGTAGTAAACTATTAGTGACGGCGGCAAAACGGATATCTTCCAAAAGATTTGTAAAGAAAGTTGAAGGAGTTTTCAAGGAACTTGAAATGGTTTTGTAAATTTACCCATCGCGTTGTGAGAAATCGTTAATTACCTCCAAGTCCTTGTCTTTCCTTACTCTGTCGTTCCCTCCCCCCTTTTTGCCTCCTCATCGTCTTATCATCGGCACTCAACTCTCTTCAAATTCTCTTTATTAAGCATCGATTATCCCCCCCCCCAAGAGAGAATGTGATTAAGACTTTACGAAAATCTCACAAAAAAATTTCTAATTTTTAATTAAATTATACTTTAAGTATTTTTTGGATAATTTTTCTAATAATTTTTTGTTAAATTTTTTCTGATATGTCTGGGTTGGCGAATTGTGCGAGTTGGCAATCGCAAAATGGCCCCTCGCATCGGCCATGTCTCGTTTGGATTGAAATAAATTGGTAGAATTGCCATGTGGGCTGTGGGGAGCAATACTGATTGCCCTGGCTGCTCGTTAAGCACTGTAACAATGTGTCATCCCCACTTTTGTTACAATTTCACACAACGACTATCCACCGCAGCCAATCGTCACATTTTTTTTCTATTATTCCCTTCCCTCTCTCTCTCTATATATATATATATATATCTATCCTATTATTCCTGCCCCTATTCAGAAAACAAACAATACATTTTTTATATTCAACTATTTTTTTACAATACTTATTACAAAATCAATTTTTAATGATCGGAATGTTTATTAATAATAATTTAAATTTAATTCTGAAAAAAAAATTTTTTTTGGGAAGAATCGAACCCGATTCTCATTTGTTGGTAAATCCATGCACGAAACCACTTGACTAACCTGAATTTCTAATATACATTTATTTTTACTCGAAGTTTATTCGACAGTTAAAAATATGTTGACAGATTATATTTTTGACCTATTAGAATTTTCTTTGCACGTTTTGTGAAAATGGTGCCTTGAAAATATATATAGTATGGGTAAAGGTTAATTGTTGCATGTCATGCATGAGCATTCCAAAGTAAGTGGGTGAAAGGGAGAAAAAAAATGAGTAAGAGAGAAAGAGAGAGAAAGTCAAAGGTACAGGGTAGTTTTGCGTGTTGTTGTTACATCAATCACTATATATATCCCCTTCTCAGAATAGATATATATATATATATATACTTATGCTCATGAAGCCCTTTCGCCCATCACTCTTCGCCCTTAAGTGGCGATAAGAAAATACGCGGAAATTTGTTATTTGTAAATATTTTTTTCCCCAAAAAAACTTTTTAACAAAATCTGATAAATTTTCATTTTCTTTTCTATACAACTTTATATATATCTTTTTTTTCTTGGAGAGAATTTGCAAATTACATATTTACAATTAACGAAGTTTAATCAATAAATATCTTGTAAATTAAATATTCATCGGTGTTATGTATATAATTAAATTAAAATTATTCAAAATCTTTATGTTCAATGGGAAGTTTTTTGATTCAGGAATTGTCATACAGGTGACGAGAAAAAATTAGTTTATATACTTGTAGTTTGCGTGTATAGCATAGTGGTTAGTGCGTTGGGTTTCAAATCCGTAGGTCGTGGGTTCGATCCCCCCCTCAGGCGTTAATTTTATTTATTCACAGTTTTTTCAATGTGTGAACACAGAATATTAAAAGGCATTAAAATAAGCTGCAACGCTTATTATTTTAATCCAATTTTGCTTATTTTAATCCATTTTGGTATTAAAATAAGCAAAATTGTATTAAAATAATAAGCGTTGCAGCTTATTTTAATACCTTTTAATTTTCTGTGAATAGAAGGGTATAAAAATTAGAAAAAAGACAGTACGGCACCAAACTAAATCTGCGAATTTTTGGTATAGGGTAAAAAATACAAGATAAAGAAGGTGTAAAAAATCAAAAAAGTCGGTTTGGAAAACAAAAATAATTTCTCACATTTTTCATCCCCTATCGGGCCTATTAGAACAACCCTTTATTGTTCCAGAGGAGTGCGGAGATTTGGGCGTTTTGACGATTTGGCGCGTGAACGGGTGACATATAATTAGCATTTGGGGTAAGAAAGGTTCTACTGAGGATGACAGGAGGTACAATATAAACTAAAACCCCTGTCACATAATTCGGCCACAAACTCCCCCTCGTTGAACGTCACCGCATATATAAGCCGATTCAAAAGTTTATCAGGGTCTTAAAGAGGGGGACCAACGTCTCGTAAAATATTGTTAAATTTTTCAAAATTCAATCACGCAGATAAATACAAAAAGTAATTAAATAACAAGTTTTGAATTGTCTATAAAATTCTACAATTTTGCACTAAATCTTTTCTCTTGTGCGCTACTTTCTTTTTTTTTTTGATTCCATGCGGGTTGACCAAGAATTGAATTTGATTGTTCGAGGTTAGAAGGTTTTAGGCGGATGGTCGATTTAAAGTTAATTGGAGAACTGCAGATTTGCCGAGGGAAGTGGAGGAATAAATTGCCATCAGACGTATACGTCTCGTTTTATACAGGGATATCTCGTTAACTCCTCTACTTCTCCCGAAAGTTTATTTACCTTCGATGCGGTAAATTTTCATTCAGATCTCATTCACCAAGATTCCTATCTTCCTATGATACATGCAAGAAAATTTGTGAAAAATATAAAAGTACTTTAATTTTCTAATTAAATAAACAATCCAAATATTGTACTGAGGAAAAAATAAGAGATAATAGGAGAAAAAAAATTCATATTTCGAAATAGCCGAGCGGTTAAGTGCTTGAATTTGCGCAATCAGACGACTCGGGTTCGATTCTTCGTCCCAACTTTGAATTTTTTTCTTCTTTCTTAAATAATTTCAAAATGATAATTTTCAATTAAATATTGATTTTTCTCATTGCAACTGATATAAACAAGATGACAAATGGATTTAATTGAGGTGCAGTGATCCAGATCTAAAAACCGCACATATGAGCAAAACGGTCATGGGTTCAAAGAATCATTATACACACACGTGTGTGTGCAACTCAAATTGAATAGCGAATTTGACAAAATGGCACGGGCACCGTGTTCGATATCTGGAAACCGCTTCGCTCGATATCTCGAGTTCATGAGACTCCCGGGGGGGTTCACAGCTGCGCAGTCAACAGGGGTTCCATTCCATGTATATATATATATATATATGTAGGTACCCCACGTCGAGTTCCGGGGAGGTGCCTCGTTATCACTGATTTTTTTTTCACTCCTTCTTTTAACTTCGAAAAAAAACGCCCCACGCTGTGTGTGCCTGCTTTCACATATATAAATACAACAAGCGCGCACACACACACACTGCATGGGAAACGTCGTCATTTAAAAAGCGCACGTACATGTCAAATTTCGCCTTTTCTCTGTTTGCCTCGTCCTTAATTGCTCCATATCCATATTTATTATAATACACCCGTCCTTCTAATTAAACGGAAAAAAAAAATTGGTTTTTATTATATGATTTTTATGCGTCTTCTTTTCCCATGTAGAAATTTTAAAAGGGCCCTGGCAGGGCCAAGATCGGGAAGCTCCAAATTCGCATAAAACATAGGAAACCCGATCGGCGCCACAGAAGAAGCCCTATTTCAGCCCGACTAGGGCCTGCTTTAGACCTGGTTGTGTTCCCTGTTTCAACCAGGTCAGGGCCAGGTTGGCTAATTTCTGCATGGGTTTAGAATTTTTTTTTCTCCTAATTTAAGAAATAAACCAAAATTTTTTAATAATTAAAAAAAAGTAATAAATAAATATAGTAAATATTCTCATGTAGAAATTTTGCCAGGGCCCTGATCGGGGCCGGATCAGGCTGCCCTATTAGGGAATGAAACGCCGCGCCTAGTATGGCCCTGATTAGGAAGTTCACATTTTCTAGTCGGCCTGATTTGGCCCTGATCAGGTGTGGCTTTTCATACCCTACTAGGGCCCTGGTAGAGCAATTTCTACACGGGTTAAAGTTATTTACAGACTAATAAATCCAGTGTATAAATTTCCCTATCAGGGCCCTAGTACACAGAATGAAACGCTGATCAGGGCCAAATCAGGGCGACCAGAAAATGTGGATTTCCTAATCATAGCCACATCAGGCAAGGCGTTTCATTCCCTAATAGGGCAGTCTAATCCGGTCCCGATTTGAGCCCTGGCAAAATTTCTGCACGGGAAATGAATTAATTTTTTTTTAACTTATATATAAAATAATTTAGGTAATGTTTATTTTTTGAATTTGGTGAGAAAAAAAAATAATTTTAAGTGTATTGGCAAAAAATTTCTTTTATTCAACACTCGGTATTGTATATGCTGGGCGATAAAAAGGTGTCCTATCAGTCTTCTAGGGGGTTTGAATTCAATTGAATCTCTAAATGATTAGAGTTTCGTCAAATAGTGACGAAACTATATATGTATATATGTAGACATATATTAAGGCCGTATGTACACAAATATAAATGAGATGTTGTATATGTGGTCCGTCATTTGTGTGTGTAAACTTACACACATATATATAGTTATATTTTCACCCGCCGTCTGCCGTCTGTGCGCTCATTTTGATTCCGACATTCGCATTCAACAATAGGCTGTAACCTAAAACCTTCAGGTTCCGTCAAATAGTCGTAATAACAAGATAATAGATTCAGGAAAATAAGATCTGGATAAAAGTCAGGAAAACAATAAATTGTTCTATTGTTGAGCAGCGGGAGCCGAAAAAAATAAGAGGGGGGGAAAAAGAATTTTTTAAATTTCATCCAACTTTTTTTTTTTTTTATTTTCAAATATAAATTAAACAATTTTCTTTTAAAATTGAAAAAGAATTAAATTTTATACATACATAAATAAATTTTTAATAAAATTGAATTTTATAAATAGTTCTGAAAAATATTCATCATCTGGCTGGGATCGAACCGAAAGTTTTCGCACGACAAATGGTCCGGCTACTCTAACCAATTGAGCCATCGCGGTATGTATACGATTATTTTTTATTTATTCTACAATTTTCGACGAAATTTAAAATTAAATTAATTAAAATATAAGGAAATTGGAAAAGAATTAAATTTTATATATAAAGAAATAAATTTTTAATAAAATTGAATTTTAAATAGTTCTGAAAAATATTTCATCTGGCTGGGATCGAACCGAAGGTTTTTTGCATTACAAGTGGTCCGGGGTACTCTAATCCAACTGAGCCATCGTGGTATGTACGATTATTTTTTATTTATTCGACAATTTTCGACGAAATTTAAAATTAAATTAATTAAAATATAAGGAAATTGAAGAAGAATTAAATTTTATATATATACAGACATAAATTTTTAATAAAATGAATTTTAAACAGTTTTGAAAAATATTCATCATCTGGCTGGGATCGAACCAAAAGTTTTCGCACGACAAATGGTCCGGCTACTTTAACCAATTGAGCCGTCGCGGTGTGTATGATTATTTTTTATTTATTCGACAATTTTCGACGAAATTTAAAATTAAATTAATTAAAATATAAGGAAATTAAAGAAGAATTAAATTTTATATATATAGATATAAATTTTTAATAAAATTTAATTTTAAACAGTTCTGAAAAATATTCCATCTGTCTGGGATCGAACCGCAAATTTTTTGCATTACAAGTGGTCCGGGGTACTCTAATCAACTGAGCCATCATGGTAAGTGTTATTATTTATTTCTTTTTTTATTCAAAACTTTCAACGATTTTTATACAATTTTAGAGTTAACTTGAAATGTAGATTAGAAAAGTGTTATTAAAAAAATACCAAATAAACTATATCTCCAATGAGAAGCAATGCAAGGCTAAAGCAGCTGATAGGAAACCAGTCCAACTGCTCTTATATGCATTGCTCTCGCCATTTAGCCGACTGATCTTTTTTATAGGGTTTGATAGGGCGGTAGGGGGAGGTGGAAAGAAATAGGGGGGTGACCTTGTATACAAGACCAGACGTTTTAGGTGCTTTTAAAGGGGCATTCAATATAGTGTGTGTACCCCCCTACACCTACTCCAATAGACAATGTGTTGAGTTATAAAAAGGGGTCCAGAGGACCCCAGCTTCCGCTTTCATTCATTCCCTATAAAGATCGCGGGGTCGCGATCCTGAGATTCTTGAAAAGGAGAATGGGACAAATTTGATACCGGGGCCCGGAAGTCTCGCGTGTGCCATTTGCCTCAGAGAACCCTGTGATATACTTATATCCCCCCCTTAAGAGAATCACTGTCATATATATATATATATAAGAAAAACGAGGGCGTTTCTTGAGTGGCGCGTGTCCAGTGTCTCTACGGAATCTACCTTGTAGAGGTTCTTATATATTCTTGAATTGAAGGAATACAACACTTGAGACGCGCATGCTGCTCTCTTAACGATCTATCAATTTTCACCTTTTTGCACCTGGTAAATACTGTATATGCGTATGCTCATTTATTATATACCCATAAAGGGTTATTTTACATTCTTCGAAAGTTTTTTTTTTCTCAACATTTGTAATTTTTTATCTAATGGAATTTTTATTGAGATAATAAATTTTCATTTAGCTGAATTATCAGTAGAATTTTTATTTAGTGAAATTTTTTAGCAGAATTTCCATTTGGTAGAATTTATTTCGATATTGAAATTTGTTGATAACGAAATGAGTTTTTTTTTATAGAAATACAGAAACAGTAGAATAGATTTTTTTTTATCATGAAATATGTATATTTGAAATGAAATTGAGAACTTGAAGTACATATATATATATATATAAAATATAAAAGTGTGTATTGATTTTATATTTTATTGCAAAAAGTGTTTAGTGTTTCTTGGAAATCACTTCGGCCTATTGGTTTTCTTATCTAATATCAGTTATATGTACTCGATTCAGGGTGCGAGCAGTCTATTACCTTCACGATCTATTGATAAGCGCGTCAAATCCGCCAACAACACACTTCGTGGTTACCAAGCAGAACGATTTGAACCCCTTAATAACTTCAGATCGATCACACGAATTCACCTTATACTCTCTCTACTGTGATTGAATGTAAAAGAATTTAATCGCGTGATTAAAAAGCCTTCATTATAAATCAGTATGGCAAACCAAATTTTCCAAAATTTATTTTTAAACACTATTTTTTTGAAACATATTTTTTTTTATTATATTATTATTTACCGCTGGTAAAAATTAATTTAATTTATTAATAATACGTTACATTGAAAAATTTTTTATTTGATACAGATAAATATATTTATTTGATGTAAATAATAATAGAATTAAAAAAAAAAACTCATGTATTTTGTTTTTCTTCGTATAAATTTTTGATAATTAAGACAAATATCTGAAACAAAATAACGTAAAAGAAACAAAGTTTAATATTATTTTTTTTTAGTAAAATCAAACTACTTATACTCAATTTCCGTTACCTTCTGTTTTTTTTATGCAAAGGATAAAATCTTGATTTATTTCCATAGGAATGTATTTAAAATTTTGCTGATTGTAGAAATTCCATTAAAAATTGTCAAATAAAAATAACAATATAAAAAGAAGAAAAAATTATATATGCAAAGACATAAAATCCAAGCTATACTCATTTTTTTCTTTCAACTTTAGTGGTAAATTATTTAATTGGGTAATATTTTTTTCAATTTTGTTTAACAATATTTTCAATTTAAAGAACTTTGTACTGACATTGTCTAAATCTAAAGTCAAACTGACTTCTTTTCTATACTTTTTATTAATAAATAAAATCGATTTAAAGAATAAACTTTGGAAAATAACTTGTACTGATTTTTATCTGTAGAGTATAGTTTCAAGAAATGCATTTCATTTTTGCTTTTTTATGATCATTATATGCGGCTTTTTTTATTGATTGTTTACTAAACTCCTTCACCTTGGAGAAAAAATATAATATAATTAATTAATTAAAAACAAATATAACAATTTTTGCGCCAATAACTATAATAATATAGAAAAAAAAAATTAATCAGATTTAAAGTATAGGAGAAAAAAGGAACAATAAAATTAAACGAAAAAAATGTGACACTATCATGTGTGCGGGTGTTGGTGATATGAACTCGAAGGAAAAAGCATCGCATACGTTCTCGCGTCATTTTTTTTACAGCCTCGACATATTTTTGTCTCACTTTATCTTGCAAAAAATAAGTATATCCTTTCCTCTTTTGAAGCTAAGGGTTAAAGTGTTGGATAAAACTGGTCCGTCGACGACTGCCATCTGCCGCCCCCAACCCCCTAAGGGCTTTTCTCTAGTCTCAGAGGCAACTTTATGGAAGCTCGAGGGAAGAGAGAGAGAGAGAGAAAGAGCGAGTGGCTTGGACGGCTCAATGCCCTAACCGTCATCTCCTAACCACCCCCTGAGAAACCCTCAACGTCTTTATTCTACCGTGAACCATCACTCCGTGCTTTTCATACAAGATTAAATAGGATATTACGCATTAAATGTCGCGATTCCTCTTCGTTCTTTGCTCTCTCCGCTTTTTTTCACCCCAACTGAGGCGACAAAACAACATGACCTTTTCTTCCCACTTTTTTTTTCTCCTTTTTTTGCCATATCTTTTCAAATTTTCTTATATATTCTCAAATGTGAATTTTCAACAAAATGAATTTTCATTCTACTCTGATTCGTTATTTTCAAATTAAATTTATTCTAAAAATATTTGTTTGTTAGTACTAAAACCAGTATTGAAACAGTTTTGTTCGTCTACTACTGACAAATCAATATTAAGCCAGTATTGAACCAGTTTTGATCCTCTAGTACTGGAAAATCAGTACTCAAGCCAGTATTGAACCAGTTTTGATCATTTAGTACTGACAAATCAGTATAAAGCCAGGATTGAACCAATTTTAATTTTTAGTATTCAAAAATTAGTACCAAAGTCAGTATTGAACCAGTTTTAATTTTCCAGTACTCGAATAATTAGTCCCAAAGCCAGTTTTGATCCTCTAGTACTGGAAAATCAGTACTAAACTAATATTTAACTAATATCAATCCTCCAGTACTGATAAATTAGTACTCAAGCCAGTATTGAACCAGTATTGATCCTCCAGTAATGACAAATCAGTATTAAGCCAGTATTGAACCACTTTTAATTTTCCAGTACTCGAATAATTAGTACCAAAGCCAGTATTGAACCAGTTTTGATTCTCTAGTACTGACAAATCAGTATTAAGCCAGTATTGAACAAGATTTGATCCTCTAGTACTGGAAAATCAGTACTAAGCTAATATTTAACAAATATCGATCCTCCAGTACTGACAAATTAGTACTCAAGCCAGTATTGAACCAGTTTTGATCCTCCAGTACTGATAAATCAGTATTAAGCCAGTATTGAACCAGTTTTAATTTTCCAGTACTCGAATAATTAGTCCCAAAGCCAGTATTGAACCAGTTTTGATCCTCTAGTACTGGAAAATCAGTACTAAACTAATATTTAACTAATATCAATCCTTCAGTACTGATAAATTAGTACTCAAGCCAGTATTGAACTAGTATTGATCCTCCAGTAATGACAAATCAGTATTAAGCCAGTATTGAACCAGTTTTGATCTTCTAGTACTATAAAATCAGTACTAAGCCAATATTAAACCAGTATTTATCTGCCAGTACTCGAAAATTAGTACTAATTCCAGTATTGAAACGGTAATTGATCCTCTAATACTGGCAAATGAATACTAAAGCCAGTATTGATAAATCCCAGCACTGATGGTTCAGTACTGGCTGCCAGTACTGCGCCAGTTGACAACTTTGCAACAATACTGTATTTTCTCCTAGGGAATTAATAATCACTGGATTAAATTGATAAGACGATGGTGGATAATGAATAAAAGTGCCCACACCTCTGTTCAAGATGAATATCATATTCGATTAAACAACGCGATCCAACTCGTGTGCATTCGACGAGGTGAGATATATATATACGTATAGTATTCTATGCGACACGATAGAACCCGAGACGGTATTCATTGCATAACGGAAATGCCTGGAAGGGCAACTTCCGGCCACGTGGCTACTTCTAAGACGTAGCATTACAACGCTTTATATATATGTGTATAGGTTTTTAAGACAGAGTATATATATATATATATATATATATATATATAGAAGAAATGTCCTAAACGGAGGAGTTTGGATCTGGAAAAAAAGAGAGCGAGATATCCAAATCTACATGGCACGCGCCACAGGAACAGCGAATTATTCAAATAAAATTCACGAATGGGCCAGCTGCCAGTGCTCCAAGCCAAACTCGATTCCGAGGGAGTGGCTGTGTTATGTATTCCGCCATGCGTGGCATATACTGCCTTTTTACGTCACTACGCTTCATCAAACCTCTCACAATGTTTGACCATTTGAGAGAGAGAAAAAAAAACATTCTATTTCCTATTAATTCACCTTCTTGTTATGTGAGCTTGTATTTTCTCAAACGCGGGATCTTAATTTTTACTTTATATACATTTTATGTATACTTTTATCGTATTCTGAATCGAATAATGGAAAATCGATATTGAGCCAGTATTGAGCCAGTTTTGCATTCAAACGATATAGCCAGTGTCTAACCGGTACAGAACCTGTATTTGCAAATTCGCATTAGGCTAGTATTTAACTCTCAAAACTATTACTGAACGAATAATTTTTTCCCGTACTGAGCCAATGTTGAGCCAATACTACCTGATAATACTAGTAGTGACCCAATATTGAGCTAATACTATAGTCAGTAATGACCCCCCCCCAGTACTGAAAAATATTGATTGTCCGCACTGAGTCGATATACTGTACCAATATTTGTTGCACATACTGAGCCAATATTGAACCCACATTGAGCCAATATTGAACTCATATTAAACCCATATTGAACCCATATTGAACCAAAAGTAATTGAAAATACTGATTCAAAAGCGAAAAATACTGTTCGTCTGTATTGAGCCCATACTGAATCAATATTCGTGGCCGATTCTCAGCCAATACAGAATCATTATTGGTTAAAAATACTGAAAATGTTGAACCAATATTCGTTGCCAATACTGTACCAATTCAGAACCAATTTTGGTTGACAATACTGATCTAATACAGAACCAATATTGTTTGTCAATACTGAGCCATTACGGAACCAATATTGGTTATCGATTCTGAGCCAATATTGAACCAAAATTAATTGAAAATACTGATTCAAAAGTGAAAAATACTGTTCGTCTGTATTGAGCCCATACTGAACCAATATTCGTGGCTGATTCTCAGCAAATACAGAATCATTATTGGTTAAAAATACTGTTAATATAGAACCAATATTGATTAAAAATACTGAAAATATAGAACCAATATTGGTTGCCAATACTCTACCAATTCAGAACCAATTTTGGTTGACAATACTGAGCTAATACAAAACCAATATTGTTTGCCAATACTGAGCCATTACGGAACCAATATTGGTTATCGATTCTGAGACAATATTGAACCAAAATTAATTGAAAATACTGATCTAAAATTAAAAAATATTGTTGCCAATACTGCGCCAATATTGTTTGGAATCAATTCAGAACCAACATTGCTTGCCAATACTGAGCCAATATGGAACCAATATTGTTTGACTATTCTAAGCCATTACAGAGTCAATATTGTTTGCTAAAAACCGAAAATTCAATACTGAATTGCTTGTTATTATGTCACAAATTTAGTCACTATATCTAGTATACGTTATCATCATTGTAACGTATGACAAAAAAAACATGTGCTTTTAAAGTTCTAAAATTGAGAGAGACAAGTTACATTGAAATAATTCCTATGAAAAGAGGACCACTTTACAGGCCATTTTCACTATAACATTATTTAACTGTTGAGGTCAATGAAAAAAGCTCCTTGACAAAAAAAAAAACTCGAATTAGAGGGAGGAAAATTGTTTGTCAAATTGCGGGAGTATTTTCTATATATATATATATATATATATATATAGGTGAGAAGTTTATTTAAGGCGAAATCATCCGTTGTCGATTAAGGTAAGAGCGAGAGGAAGTATATATACATATAGTAGTCGTATATAGAGAGGGAACTGTGCGATTGGGGGTTGCTCGTGTTATTGCTTGTATTGTAGACCACCCTACAAGACCGACAGTTAATCGGAGGGGGGTTAGTCCCCCGAGATTCTGAACTTTGTGGTACTTTAGTCGTATCCAAGGTTTGACGTTGATGCCTCCCTCTCTCTCTCTCTCTCTCTCTCTCTCTCGCAATTCCCGCCGAAACATTGTAAGATCCTGAGAGTTTCATTGCGATTCTCGCACACCCGCACACGTTTCAACTTCGCTTATTCCTCGCAGAAATCGTTTTCAATTCTTTGTTTGCATTTTCGATTCGACTCTCTTTCCACTTCTCTACTTTACAATCGCGCGCGCCTCACTTTCGATGAAACTCTTTAAAATCCGTATATATACTTTTTATTATTCATCAAAATGTGTATTTTTATTTAAATACTGCGATTTTAGGAAATTGCGATCAATTCCCACCTTTCCGTTTCCTTTTGTGCTAAATTTTATACTTTAAAATGAGATTTGTATTATATAAAATATACCCGGGTAGAAATTATGTCATGGCCCAAACCTGGCGTCTATAAAATTGTCATGAAACGCCATACCCGATATGGGCCACAAGATGAAGCCACATTTTGACGCTTCCTAAATCTGGCCCATATTGGGTAAGGCGTTTCAAGCCATTTTTGGGCCAAATATGGCAATTTCTACACGGGTAATTGTAAAATATTAAAAATATAATAGAAACATAAATTTTTGTTGTTTTAGTGAAACATATCGCTGTAATAGTGAAATTTATGTCTCTGTTCCAGGTAAAGATTTTTTTCCTTGGTAAAAATATATGCCCGTGTAGAAATTTTGAAAGGGCCCTGGCAGGGACCACGTCGGGAAGCTCAAAATTCTTATGAAACAGGGAATCCGATCAGGGCCACAGAAAAAGACATATTTCAGACCCATTAAAATCGATTTAAATCGGGGCCCGACCTAGGCCTGGTTTGGCCCCGGTCGGGTTCCTTGTTTCAACCAGGTCAGGGCCAGGTTGGCGAATTTCTGCACGGGTCAATATACTGTTAGGCCCGACAGCCTTACCTTAGCAACCGTTTCCATACCCGTGCAGAAATTTGCCAACCTGGTCCTGACCTGGTCGAAACAGGGAATCCGACCCGGGCCAAACTAGATCCTGGTCGGATCCCGGTTTTAATCGTGTTGAAGCAGGTCGCTCTTCTGAGGTCCCAATCGGGTTCCCTGTTTACTGCCTATTTGAAGCTTCCCGACTTGGGCCTGGTTTGGCCCCTGTCGGGTTCCTTGTTTCAACCAGGTCAGGGCCAGGTTGGCGAATTTCTGCAAGGGTCAATATTCTGTTAGGCCCGAAAGCCTTATACCTTAGCAACCCGTGCAGAAATTCGCCAACCTGGCCCAGACCTGGTTGAAACAGGGAATCCGACCGGGGCCAAACCAGGCCTTGGACGAACCGCGGTTTTAATCGGGTTGAAGTAGGGCGCTCTTCTGTGGCTCTAATCGAGTTTCCTGTTTCATGCGTATTTGAAGCTTCCCGACGTGGGCCCTGCCAGGGCCCTTTCAAAATTTCTACACGAGCATGGTAGTAAACGTTACCCTTAAAAGGCCACGAAACCCTGCAATGGAGGCACCATGCGACAATTTTAATTCGAATATTTATTTGGTTTAAGGAAACATTTATTTAATAATAAAGTTAATTTAAATCAAATAAATTTTTTTTTTTTGCTAAGAAAAAGTTAAAATCAAAATAAATTTTTTGAATTAATGTATACGGTAGAGCAATTATTTTGCAAGTACATAGGTACATATAGTCTATAAAATATAATCTTGTGGGAATGATCCCTTAGACAAAGGAAAATAAAATTTCGCGAATTTTTAGCGCGCACATTTGAAAACAGGTTTCTTGTTCATCCGCTTATTTGCATTAATTATGGGATACATATAGCACCTTATTTTTTTGCACATGTCGCGCGCAATCTAAATGTGCTGTTCATATATATATGTATATATATATATATATATATATATATATATATATATATATATATTCTTATCGCTGTACATATATCAATCTTGACCAAGTGAGCAATGCATATGCTTAAGTTTCAGTAAGCGCGGGTGGACAATGGCCAGTGGGCATCGTTTCTTATATATATACATATATGCAAACGCATTTACCACATTTTGGCCGGATATAAACACCTGCCTATCACTTCTATACTTTTACAACCGTTTCTATATTCACGCGTGTGAAACACCCTCTAAATTTCTGTCAGAAGTCCGAGAAAAATTTATTACCTCAAGGGGAAATTCACGTCCAATGGAACTTAAAAGAAATAAAAAAAAAAAATAAATAAATGAACCAATGAAACGGAAGCTTAACTCCAATTTGCTCCACTTATATTGAGAATTTATGTATAAAATACTTTTTTACATTTCAAATTGTTATTTATATGTAGTTCTATTTTTCCTATTGTTATTTATGTTAATCGATACTGAATTAGAAAGTTGTATCTTTTGTAAAGTAGAATATTTATTTAAATACACTATTTTTTTAATGCAATAACATTCTATAGAGGAATTATAATCTATTTGCGAAAATTCGCTAACCTGGCCCTGAGCTGGTTGAAACAGGGAACCCGGCTGGGGACTGACCAGAGCCTAGTGTAGCCCCGGTTTCAACCAGGTTAGAGCCAGGTTAAAAAAATTTACATGTACTATATATATTTCTTTGATTATAATTCTCAATTTTTGAATATCATTTTTTTTTTCATTGTTTCAGAATGTTTTGCAGGTTTCCTGATGTTGAGCGATAGTATTTCCTACAACAAGGAAATATAGAGTAAGATTTCCTCTTGTTTGGTGGTCCATTTGATATAACGGAACCTCATTTGAATTTTTTGAAAAAGATTGTGAGCAGCCAATCTTATCTGATGGCGAGAGCTGATTGATATACTGTGATACGAGCTGGGGTTAAGCGCAACTCTCTCAACGACCCCCATAGTTTTATGAATTGGCAGACTGAGTGGCGAACGAACATTTAATGCCTTCGAGGTAGGTAGACATTTAATCATAATCTAATATTTAAAAGGTAATTTCACGGCCTGTTTACCTCCGCGATCTATATATATATATAAATTTATGTAATACACCTTCCCCCTTTATGTTTTGCTTCAATTTCCACTCACCATGGGAATATATAAATTTTCCCCTATAAACGACACTTCCGGAAATCCGAAATACTACTCCGGTTTCCGGTTTCGATTTTTTAAAGGCTAAAATGACTTTTGTAAAAAAAAAAATTGATCTGCGAATGAAATGGAACCCGATCAAAAACCTACTAGGGCCTGGTTAGATTTCAATCGGGCTGAAATAGGATTTTTTTTTGTATGGAAAAAAATATTTACCTGCGGAACAGCGAAAAGTTTCACTAGAATAACAAAAATTTTAATTTATCAAGTGCTTGGGAAAAAATTAATTTTTGACTGGTGATACAAGGTACCAGGGAAAAACAAAGTACAATATATATAGTATTAGGAAAGAAATAAAAAAAAAAATAAATATATACGAAGATCCACGTGGCAAAGTAATGAAAAAGATAATATATTCGTTTAGCGCGCGCATATATAAACAAGCAATGGTATTGTTATTATCGTGTACCAACCATTCCGATTAATCGTCTGCCGTTGATTCATTCCGCTTAATTTATACGTAAATTATACCCAGCCGCCCTTTCGGTGCTCAGTGAATAAGCATGAACTTCCGGCCCCTGTCCGCTCATTTATTCTCAATGTTCGCCTGCGCTCTCTCAGAATCATCGCGTATTTTAAATCACACAAAAACCCGTATACAAAAATATTTCAAATTTAAAAAAATAACAATTTTTTTTTTGCTATAATAATTAATTAATTAAAATTTAATTTTTAAAGGATTTACTTTTTTAAGACTTTGTCTTTATTCTCTATTAATTTAAATTTCTCGTGTAGAAATTGTCCTACCAGGGCCCTAGTAGGGGTATGAAACGCCACACCTGATCAGGGCCAAATCAGGGCGACTAGAAAATGTGGACTTCCTAATCAGGGCCACACTAGGCGCGGCGTTTCATTCTCTAATAGGGCAGCCTGATCCAGCCCCGATCTGGGCCCTGGCAAAATTTCTACATTTGACCCTGATCTGGCTGATACAGGGGCCACACTAGGCGCTAGTCGGGCTCTTGAATAAATCTAGAATAATTGAAATAAATAAAAGTTTTCTATAAAAATAAATAAATTTTCTTTCCTTACTAAAAAATGAAATAATAATAATTGAAAAGTAGAATTAAAAAAAAATTGAAAGAAACGTGTGAGACGATATAAATAATATAAAAATTTTGAAATTAAAAATAAAATTCACCTTATTTCCGTTGTTGATAATTAAAAAGGTATAATAACTGGTTTGAAGGGGATGAATTTTGTTATATAGATATATATATATATATAAAGAATGTGAAGGGTCTTTAACAGATATATCGGATGCATTTAAGTATATACACTCGAATATTGAAGATGATACAGAAAATCGTTTATCCGGTCACGTGTGTATACACAATGTTTATTAGTAAAGTTGCTTTTTCGCCTCAATTTATATACATGTATATGTATATATATAGAGACATTAATTACTTGCGTGCTCAGGCAATATATATGTATATATATATATATTGCTTGGACACCCACCGTGACCCTAGAACTCATTTTTCCCTCTAACGACCTGGGTCACCCTACAATAATGTACGTCACACCACATCCCCATAAAATTTGATACCTTGAGAACCGATATTATAGATATATATACAAGTATCCAGTTGATTGAGTTTAAAGTATCCAAAAAATCTAACAAAAAAATTTCATGGAACATTTAATAATTATATTTATAAAAAAAAATCTCAATTTAAGAGGAATATAGCTCTTAAATTATTTGAAAAATTTTATTTTTTAAATTTAAATCAGTAAGATTTCACCGATAACTGGAATTTAGTAGAATTTATCACTGAAATTCAGTCACATTTCACTGTTTAGTCAAATATACTTATTTAAGTTAAATCTGCAGTATCATTAATCGGTAAAACAGAATTTGAAACAGATTTCGCTCTTTTAGTATTTTAAAATGTTCTTTAGACTTTCTAAATTGTGAAATTTCACTGATACAACTGAAACTTAGCAACTCAAAAAATACAGTAAAATTTTCCACTGAAATTCAGACACATTTCACTGAAATTTAGTCAAATACTTATTTAAGTCAAATCTGCAGTATCACTACTCTCTAAATCTGTATTAGTAAAAATGTTTACTAATTTGAAATAGTGACTCACTTTTTGCTTCTGAATTTGTAAAATTTTACTAATTATTAGTAACTTTTACTAACAATTAGTAAAATTTAACTAATTCAGAAGCAAAAAGTGAGTCACTAATTCAAATTAGTAAACATTTTTACTAATTCTGATTTAGAGAGTAATCGGTAAAACAGAATTTGAAACAGATTTTGCTCTTTTAGTATTTTAAAATGTTCTTTAGACTTTCTAAATTGTGAAATTTCACTGATTCAACTGAAATTTATCAACCAAAAAAATACAGTAAAATTTTCCACTGAAGAATTCAGTCACATTTCACTGAAAAATTAATCGAATTGCTACTTATTTATTAGCTGAAATCTGCATTATCATTAATCGGTAAAACAGATTCGACTGTTTCAATCAGTAAAAATTTCTACTAATTTTCAATAAATCTGAATTTCAGTGGCAAATTTTATTAAAGTGATTCAGTTGCTAAATTATAGTTATTTTATCAGTAAAATCTCACTTATTTTTAAATTCGAATATTTTAAATTTTTATAAAAAAATATCGAAAATTAAATGAGATACAATAATAATGAAAAGAAAAAAATGTGGACATTGGTGATAACTAGTTGCGGTGTTTTCAGTGCGATTGTAAGTTATGTCAAGAGGAAGTAGCGCATTAATTTCAGGCTTACCCTCGCACCTATAGCCGCACTTCTTTGGTTGTGCGAGAGAAAGAGAGAGTCCGCAAGTATACATAATACGCAAATACGCATCGCGCAGGTTAGCAAAGTAGCAGTTATACGAGGTGTTTCAAGACGGCTGCGATAATTTGTTAGTCAGATATACACGATAGACACTAACATTGCAGTGGAAGTATACTAATTTCTTTGTCATATAAGTTTATTCTAATTTATTATTACAACCCTCTTCGAATTTCATTATCGCTATTTTTAAACCCTTTTTTTAAACATATATATATATATATATATATATTTCAAATGAAAACCAATTGTTTTTTTTCACAAAACAATATGATAAAAAATTATATTCCAATAAATAATAGAAAATAATTGGTCATTTAATTTTCAATTATATAATTTAATGACTGCGAGGTGAATTTAAAGGAAAAATCAATTTTTCTGGTCCAGCATATATCCTCTTGATTTGGGAAAAAGATCAAAGACGAATAGAGATAGATAGAAACCTAGGCAATGTCCGATATAGGCCCCGAAGCTATATAAGGCCTCCTCAAATATTAGTTGAGGATGATAGGGGACCCCCTTTCAGGAATCCCTGAAAATTCTATGGCGAATAATCGTAGACAGCTGGCTCGATGCAAAATCAAGTAGCGTAATAATTTTTTAGGGTCTGTAGCATCCAAAGAAAAACGAGTAAAATGAAAAATTCAGATTGTCTCTTAAAATTTCAGGTTTGCTCTTTCAAAAACAACCTTTTAAATATCATATATATATATACCTATTTTTTTTTTTAATTGATATATCTATATAATTCAAATTTATTCATGGAATATTTTTCAAGAGCGTCATCATTTTTTGACCCTTTTATTAAATATTAATTGCATTCTTATGATAATTGTATATAAAAGGCAATTAATAAAAAGAAATATTAAAAAAAGAAATTAAATTTATGATTGAGAAATAATTTTTTCTGAAAATAATCACTTTTACATTTAAAATTTCAATAAAATTCGTAAATAGTGATTTTTGTTATAAATTTACAACAATTATGACACTCAGTATTATCGATTCGACAATATTTTTCGGCGGACTAAAACGGAAATGTTAAATAAGTGCGTGTCTGACAAAATTTATCGCTATTAGTATATATATGTGACAAAAATTTATTGCGATTCAAATATAATCGGCTGTTTAATTAGCAAATAAATGTTTCCTTGAATGCATTTTTATTTTACACGGAAAAAAAGAAAAAATAATTTTTACTACTTTCATAGTAAAATGGGATCTGTCCGAAGTTTCTGCGCATATCTATGGCAACTTTTACTTCAAAAATAGTAAAATTTGCTCGAGAAATAGTAAAATTTACTCCAGAAATAGTAAAAATTATTACAAAAATAGTAAATTTTACTATTTTTTGAGTAAAAGTTGCCAGAGATGCGCAGAAACTTCGGACAGGTCCAATTTTACTATGAAAGTAGTAAAAATTACTTTTTCTTTTTTTCCGTGTAGGGTCGAGATTTTCAAAATCGAATACTCACTCAGAAAAAAGATATATATGTTTGAACCAAATGTACCATTTTTTTATATTTACCCAATTTTTTGGTTAGTTGAAACAAAATTTGTTTAATTCAAATAAATATTTATTTGATCTAAATAACTGTTTGGTTTATTTTAATAAATTTTTTGAATAAAGAAAAAATTTGATTGAGCTAAATAAACGTTTGGTTTATGCAACCAAATGTTTGGTTAACTGTATATCAATGCATTTATTTTGTTGATTTAACCAAAATTTTTGTTGCTTCAAACGAATTTTTTTCTGAGTGCTCCTGCCGCTGTTTTCTTTTTTTGAAGCAGAAGAATAATTTAAAATCTGTAATATTATACCAAAGAAATTTGGATTGATTTTCACCCCCAAAAAAAACCAAAATTCTGCAGAAAATTATAATTATTTCTGCGCACTTGAAAGAAATATTTTCGTTAATTAAAAGAAACTTTTTTCTATATAATATAAAAACCAATGGATAGAGAAAAAAAAAATTGAATTCTGAATATATTTTCCTTGGGCCCCTTTTTCTCGAAATGCTCTTGAACTTATTCTCATATATTCACAATCAGTATCGAGATTGTATCGCGTAAAATATAATAACAACATTTTACGTGAGAGTATAGAATATATATATATATATAACTCAGCTTTTTATAAATGAAGGCGAAAGCCATATGTGCCCCCAAGCACAATTTAGTATAGTGTAGTGCCAACGGAAATTAGCGAACAATTATATTGCTTTGCCATTGAATTGTTCACTGTTTTATAAACAGTGAGCTTATCGACGATGCCAAGTCCATTATTTTAAAGGTTTCGAGTACCCTGATCACTCGAATCTCTACAATCAAACCTTAGTTGGTGTGTATATATCCAAGGTTGTAGATTTTCGAGTACCTTAGACCCCGAGACCCAGGGGTAACGATGAGAGAACGAAAAGGGTCTCGGGCGGCATATATAGTACGTGTTTCGTTGCAGTAGCTTAAAGTGGATGAAGGAAAGAGGAGGGGGGGGGAGAGAGAGACTTTGGCAAGGCTTCGGTGTTGCGAACCTCTTGAAACCTCGAGCAAACACTCCTGATGGTACAGGGCGTTTGCCTAGTACACCGATTAATATCCCAATGCAACTCAACATCTCCTGTTATCCCGGAGGCTGCTCGACACTGCTACTTCATTCTTTATTCATTGTATCGTGTTCTGGATAAATGGCCGATTAGAAGGTCCTATACATAAAGCTTTAATATTCGATTCTTGCGCTGATGTATATAGATATATTTATATACTTTTCTCGACAAGTGATGAATTTTTATTTTCCTTTTTTAATTGCCCCAGTGTAGTTTGGAAAGTTATACAGAAAATTAAAAGGCATTAAAATAAGCTGCAACGCTTATTATTTTAATACCTTTTAATTTCTGTGTATACAATTCTCAACCGAATCTGATAATTTTGTTCAAAAATTGTACTGCTCTTTTGGATTTTGAAAACCCAACTTTAGATTTATAATTATATCCCAAAAATCCTCTGCAGTGACAAATTTCATCAAAATCTGATAATTTTCAATATGTATTGGATCCGCTATTTTGGATTTTTAAAATCCAATTAGATTCTTTTAGCAGCAACCCCGAAAACCACCTAGTTACAAATTTCATATAACCAAATCTAACAATTTTTCTTAAGGGTAGGTCAAAGTCGATGTAATTTTTACATATAGAGCTTCAATGGGAAAATCGCATCGACTTTGACATGTCCTTAAGTTCACCATTTCGGATGTTCAAAAATCAACTGCAGATTCATAATCATTGTTATAATAGTACACTGAAAAAAGTGTATTTGATTCAAATAATCCCAATTACTTGACTATTATTAAATAAATATTCCAAATAATTATTATCTGAGTCAACAAAATTTTATTTGTTTCAAGTACATAAATTATTGTTCCAAATACAAAATTTATTGGTTCACAGAAAATGAAAAGGCATTAAAATAAGCTGCAACGCTTATTATTTTAATCCAATTTTGCTTATTTTATTACCAAAATGGATTAAAATAAGCAAAATTGGATTAATATAATAAGTGTTGCAGCTTATTTTAATGCCTTTTAATTTTCTGTGTTCAAATACAGTTTAAACTAAAAAAATTATTTGGTACAAGGAAATATTTATTTAATAATAGTCAAGTAACCGAGTATTTAAAGAAAATAAATTTTTTTTCAGTGTAGTATATATATATATATTTCTATCGTGACTAAATAACATGGCGTCCATAGCTTCCGTCGGCCGTCGGGTCGCCATTTTTGATCGAACTATAAATATCTCAATTGCAACTCCATTATAATTATATATACAAATAAAAATTTTACCTATAAGAAGTATCAATAATTTTAATTTGTTTTCAATGGAAAACTAAATTAACAAGTAAAAAAACACCTTAAATTATGTGTTAATAGAAAAAAAATTAAAAGACTTTTTTAAGATTTTATATATTCAAATGTATATATATACACCAAATATATATAGTAATATTTTTAAAATGATTATAAATTCTCCCTTCTGATTTCAGTATAGCGAAAGTCAACCCCGCAAAAGAAATTTGAGTATAGGCGACGGAAGTTGCTCTTTAATCTTTATGATGTGGGGTGCGTTAGATCAGTTGACAAATCCATTTATAAAAATCTGGCTAATTGTGCTAAACCAATGTCTTTCAATTTATCGCTCTGTCTAACATAAATATCATTTGATTTTACTCTTTCAATTTGTCACTTCAATTGTAAAACGAATTCGAATGACATAAAACGCATATATTAATTACATTGCGATAATTTTATTAACTTAATTTTTGATCAATGATATAATGAATTTATATGAAATTATAATCATATATAGTTGCAATTATTAATTAAGTATACAATTAATTAATATAATTATTATATAATCTTTACAAAATTATTGAAAATATTACATATAATCTTTAAATATAATTATTGAAGAATTATTAATCAATTTCATTAGATAGCAGATTTAGCAGATTATTTAAATATTCTACTGTAGCAAAAATAATGCGAAATCGTATTCGAAAATAATATAAACAAATATATCTATACTTACTATCAACGAATTGTGTTAAAACTTCTCCAATTTTGCAATTATCAAAAAGTTCTCCAGCACAACACTGAAAATTTAACGTCTCTCTTGTCTTTTTTTAAATTATATATAATCTTTATAGAAATACTATTTTAATAAACTTTCACTCAAGATATACAAGACTTGTAATGTTCCATTCTTGACACTCGATTTATCAGAATGCAATACATTCTATACGAAGAAAACAAAAACACTTTTAAAATCATTGTCTTCCTTTGTCTCATCATCTCTATATGTAGAAAAACAAAATTTCATTTGTGAATCATATACACACACATCATATGAGAAATTTTGGCAAAATAATTTTTATCATTTTCATATTATTATTTCCGACACATAATTTTTTTTAAAAACGAAACTCGGTCAATGGACGGTTTTACCGTCCGCATCCGTACAAGATGATGAACATCTTTGAATCGTGGATTCCAAAATAAATATATAATAGGGGATATAAATCTTTTCCAGTCGATTCGTCAAAAGTCCGCGCGATGGCGATGAGATTATTATATAATCTTTGGGTATATATATATATGTATATATATATATGAGAGGAGCCCGACGACGACGAGATGAGAGCCGGTTTTTTAATCCCCCGGAGATTTGTGATTCGTGGTCAAAGACCAACGCGAATAGTTTGTAGCTGGTTGGATGTGAAGCAAGAGAGTATGTTGGATGAACGGTTGCAAATAGGTGGTGGAAGGTCGAGCGTGCTGAAAGGACGATGCAAGAGAGGAGAGAAGAGAGAGAGAGAGAGAGAGAGAGAGAGAGAACATCAGTACAAAGATAGCAACGTTTTGGGAGGCGTGGTGAAAGGCGGAGTTTATTCAGCAACCCAGCAACTTATGCCCTCCTCCATTTCAAAACCCGCTTATATATGCCCATCCAAAGCTCAGCAACACCCTGACACGAGTTCATCCCCGTCGCCTGTGAAGGGCGTCCTCTCTCGCCAACATCAAAAGTGGCGGAGCAGTCTAGCTCCTTAAACTCTGACACTCTTCATCGATTCCCTCTCTTTCTCTCTCTCTCTATGTATGTACGAAATTGCAATATATATATATATACGTCTTGGTGCGAGAATCTTTTTTTTTTCTCTTCTTTCCTCTCCCACTTCCGGTCAAATTCCGTTAATTTCTCTTGGAACCAGTTTTTTTCTTTTTTTAAACCTACATCCGGCTGGTAACAACTTGGTATCGACCAAAGAGGAGGGTGTTTCATCCTTCGAGATTAACACCCTCTTTTTATAACTGGAGTATAAGCACTTACCTTTAGGTTCCCTTCCAGTCGTCATTCATGTGGGTCTTAATTGCAGCTTTTCATGCCTTTGGTGTGTCCACTTTATGAGTTCAGTTGCCAAGTGCCTTTCAATTTGTTCATGAATTTTGTTTCTTGATGTTTGTTTAGGATTATGCTTGATCATTTTGAATTGTATATGGTTTTCTTCTTTTCTGAAATTTGCGGAAATTATAAATTAAACAATTCTTTATATCCAATTTTTAAAGATGCAAATAATATTGTATTCCAACTGTATTTGTTTGGTTTTTTGTTCAAAAACCATATAGATTACACAGCTGCAACGCTTATTTTAATGCCATTTTAATTTTCTTTGATAGCAATGCTTCAATTAATTGGAAGCATATAACCATTGTAGAAGCTGTATATCTGCTCTCATAAAAAAAAGTACAGCATCATTAGATCATTCAGACCGACATTGTTTATGGCTTTCGTTTTATAAAACCATCAAAAGCTCATCTTGATAGCAAAAATAGAAAAAGCTAATTTTATCAAACCCAAAAAAAATTTCAACAGGCTATTTCAAAATCGAAATAAAAATTCAAATCTTTAGGCCAAATCTGCTAATATATAATTAGCAGATTTGGCTTGCTTAAAGATTTTTGACTTTCTAAGAACATTTCCAATAGCGTCATCAAATTTTTTTTAGCAGATAATTAAATCCTTCATTACATATGAGCTTTAAGATCTTTTTAAAAAAAAATGATCCGTCTGCAGGTGGAAATAAAAGATATATGATCCTCGCAGATATACTGTGTGAGAAAAGGAATAAAACAAGACGACACGTCAGTGGCGGCGAAATGCATTGAACCTGATGAGAAAGTTATAAGGGATGAAGAGGAGGGAAAAGGGTTTCGAATTTGTGGCGGCGGAAGGTCGACGAATGGGATATAGCGAATGAATACCGAGTATGGATTTGTGAGAAGCCAATAGGAAAGCGAGATAGCCTCCCTCGTTTATGTTCGCTACACCAATCGGAGAGCATTTTCCACCCTCGTGAAATCTCTTCGGAGGTGGAAAAGTGCGCAGGGGTGACTTTCACTGCTATATATATGTATGATGCAGCTGCCCCCTGCCTGTTGGGCTGATAAAGACAGACATTCGAGTTTTGGATCAGCATTAACGACCGATAGCGGTCGACCCTGCCATCGCGCAGGCATTCCTTGACACCTTCTATCTACCCTCCATTTCCGACCCCCTGACATCGACCTACTAATGTCAACTAAACTCATTTCGAAGATCCATCTCAGATGATGTTATATATATATACACAATTTCGAACAGTAATCAATTCCGTCGTTATCTTTTTTAAAATCATTGAGTACTGGAGGAATAATAATTTAAAGAAATCAATATTTATATGCCCGGTGAGAAGATTTAAATATGGTGAATTATATTTTTCGAACCGTGTAGTGTTGATAATATAATTTGTTTGCTCACGACAGATTAGGTGTTGCAGCACGTGTTCTGCCATGTGACAAGCGTGCCAGTAGGGCAGAGAGAGGATGAATGTAAATATTCCCTTATACAATTTTGTTGTAGACTTATAAAGTGGTTTTAAATTTAGGATTATAAAGCTTCGCTCAATAAATTCGACTCGAATTTTATTTTTAAAATTTTCGCTTCAATTCTCTAATGTTGAATTTGCAATGACTCTGGGCGTTAAACATTAATCCATTAGGAAATATTAACATTAGGAAACAATGTAATCGAATAGAAAAAATTAATCATTTAGGAAACATTAAAGAAAACCTAATCTTTTAGAAAACATCAAACTATTAGGTAACATCATTTTAATATATTGAATTAATGTTTACAAAACGTTATCAATACATCAGTTCAATATAGGAAACATATAATTATTCTTTTAGAAATCATCAAAATCTGTTAGGAAATATTATCAATATACAAAACTATTATGAAAATCAATCCTTTAGGATTATTTATAGCAAACATCAATCCATTAGCGTATAACATCAATCCAATAGGAAACATTATCAAACCATTGGGTACACATAAAATTAAAAGGCATTAAAATAAGCGTTGCAGCTTATTTTAATGCCTTTTAATTTTATGTGTAACATCCAGTATGAAAACATTATCAACTGTTTAGGAATCATTAAAATCTGTTAGGAAATATCAATCCAATAATAAAAATTATTATTAACCCATTATAAAAATAAACCCAATTCTTTAGAGGTTTCCAAAACAATTTAAATCCATTAGGTATGATATCAATCCAATAGGAAACATTATACCATCAGTACAGTAAAAACCACTGCGTTAATCCAATAGAAACTTTCAGTCCATAAAAGTAACCCCTTTTTAAATGAAAAAGTATCAGAAATCTGAAATTTAGGAAAACAATAAGAATCTATTACCGCAAATTCTGATAATAGATCTAATAAAACAATCTGTAAAATCTGTTCTTTATTTTATTGAAAGGATCATTATCCGCTAAAATACACATATATATGTGTATATGTTTCTTGTAATCTTATATGTGTGTGTATATATATATATATATATCCATCCCTCAGCCCAATATGTCCCGTCACAGAATAGTGTATATGTACAGATTACACACATACATATATATATAAAGGGAGCGAATAGCCACGGACAATATATATCAGTTTACAGTGATAAAAAGCAAACATGGGAAATAACGCTAGGAATTACTGAACCAAACAATATGTCCCTCTCTCGCGCGTCTCATGGGGATGCTGAAGAGTTTTCGACCAATCCCCCATGCTTAAATACGATTCCTTTATGGACAATAATTTTACAACGAAACAATAGATATATACTATATAACAAAAACCTTCGTTTTATTTCGAGCTCGGTTGCGCGGGAGAAAATAGATAATAGGAGTATATATATATAGAATATGTGTCTCATTGCCCGAGAGATACAATATCATGTTATTGGTCATGTTTCATTGTTGTCACCATAAACGTTTGACTTTTATATTAACTTCAAATTGTGTTTACAAAAAAAAAAAAAAAAAAAAAAAAAAGAGGAAAACAATTAGAGCTATACTAATTTGAAATCTTTCAACAATTGAAGCTATATATATACTTTTTAAAAATTGAGTTAATATAAAAAATTTATGTTTGTTATAAAAATGCATAAATGTTGAAGAATTCACTCATGCATTCATTTATATCGGTATTTACCTTAATTTAATAAAATAGAATTAAATTTATTAATAAATAATAAAAACATGGAGAAAAATGATACTTATACTAAACATATGGAACTAAAATTTTGTTTGGATACAAATCTGTATTGTTGCACTATATTGTTACTACAACGCATTTTTAGTTGGTGCAACAAAATTTTATTGTTTCTTACAACAAATTTGTATTGTTATGCAATAACGAATTTGTTAGGAATTAAGAAATTACTACAACAATACATAGTTGTAGCAAAACAAAATTTGTTAGGTTTAGTAAGTATCAACAGTTTATTTTTCTCCGTGCATCATGAAAATAAATGATTTATGAAATCTTTCTAAATCTGAATTCAGTGGAAAAGTCAAAATCAATCGCTAAATTCCAATATTTGAGAAAAATTTGCTATCAGCATTTTCGCCAAAAGTTATATTGATTCAAAATCATTTGCTATAGAATTTGCAAAAAATTTTAAAGCATATATGCTTTTAAAACAGTACTTTTTTTATACTTTTGTTGGAAATAGCGAAAATTTTACTGATCCACAGAAAATGAAAAGGCATTAAAATAATAGCTGCAACGCTTATTATTTTAATCCAATTTTGCTTATTTTAATCCATTTTGGTAATAAAATAAGCAAAATTGGATTAAAATAATAAGCGTTGCGCAGCTTATTTTAATGCCTTTTAATTTCCTGTGTCCTCATAGTTAAAATCGCACTAATTCTCACACTGATTTTCAGTAAAATTAGAGATAACTATAGAATTTAGCAATTGATTTGACATCAGTGAGTAATTCAAAATCAGCGACTTTTTTTTTTTTTTTGATGATGATGATGAAGATTTGTGAAACAGAAATAAAATGAAGGGGTCTGAAAAATCGGTACCCTTTTGCTTGCGGGTGTCTCTTAGCGGGTAGTGCACTCTTGTATGCCAGTGACTAGTGAGGTAAACTCAAGTGTCTAGGATGCCCGAAGGGGCCAGGGGGAATATGGGTATAGAAAGAGTTGTATGTTAGCGAAATAAGAAAGGATAGAGAGGATTATATAGCATATATATACAGAAAAGAGAGAATGAGAAAGAAAAAGAGAGAGAGAGAGAGAGACCCTTAGGGGATGCTTTTTCCTCAGTCTGAGCATTCCTTCAGTGGGCGACGCTCAACTATCAACTTGGCTAGGCGCTCATGACAGCTCACATATGCGGTATACGCGGTGGCAACGGCCCAAGCGCAAGAAGTAGACAATTCACAATTAGCAAACACAAACAGAACCACGAGTGGTTTCAAGTTGCTGGAACGTGATGTATAGAAGCCTGGCTTTGCTCTCTATATATATATATATATATATATATGTCGTAAGCAAACGATGCGGGGTAATCTTCAATATAATACCAAGCACAATAATTGTTCCAAAATTGCGACTAGTTTTTATATATAATTTTGGTAAAATTATTATACGGTATATGGAGGATAATTTATTGATGTTGTTTTTCAAAAAATAAAAATCTAAAGATTATGTATACAGATATCTTCTATAATACAAAAACGCAAAATAATCTATATATATAAGGTTTTCTGTTATCTTTTGGGAGAAGAAAAATATAATTATCTGAATCTGGTATATCAGGAAGATATTTTTTTCTGGTAAAAACAAAAATAATTCTCTTTAGAACCAAGAAGATATTTTCTTCTGATGGAAAAAAGAAAAAATAATTCTGATTCTGAAGATCCCAAGGAGATATTTTGGAAGAACCATATAATATATATATATATAATCTTAGAAAGGTTTTTCTATTAGAAAAACAAAAATAATTCCGAATCTGTATAGATCTAAGATTTCTTCTGTAAAAATATCTGAATCTGTACTGATTAAAGAAGATAATTTCTTCATGAAAAATAAGGAAATAATTCTGATTATAGATCCAAAGAAGATATTTTTCGAAAGAACCGCAAAGTGTAATCTATAAAGACGCACACACAATCAAGAAGAGATTATACACAGTAAAAACAAAGTCTTAAACCGTTTACACCTTAAATTAAGCCCATATATTTTGCATAAGTCTGTCCTTTTTTAATTGGTCTGACTCCGTTTACACCTTAAATTCAGCCTCAAAAATAGGCTGAAATCAAGATTTCTTTTTTAGTGTGTAGAAGATCAAGAAGATTTCTTTTTCAAGAAGAGGGATAAAACGCAATATGATTTCTATTGACACAATAAAATATTCTAAAATAAAAATTAAAAAATCGAAAAAAAGAAAATAAAGGAAACTAATTCCATTAAGTTGGGTATTTTGTTCATACCCGTTATAATACATATATATATACACGCGGGCGCATCATGCTTTCGCTGTTGCGTTGGAACACTTGAAGCCCCAACCAGTTACGGCAACAATAGGCTTTGTCTTCGCGCCGTCGGCTCTCGCAAATTGGTAGAAATCTTGATTAAAGGTGCAATTCCGCTCCTGCCTTGAGGACAAATATGAATTGCACCCCCCTGATACTTCCATCCACACCCCCCCCCCCATTTCTTCGTGTACAAATGAAAATGGAAAAAGTGCGCTGCTTTTTCGCAAAGCATGCAGAAACCATAAAAACCATTTCTCCTTATATTTCTAAAAAACCATTTCAAAGACCATATATATATACTTGCTTCTCTAATCGCTCTTTCTATCTCACACATATATATATCTCTCTCTCTTGAAATGGTGCCCGAAATGTTTACCACTTTATTATCCCGTTTGGCACTTCATTTGCAATCTTTGCGTTTATACTGAGTGTGGTTACAATTCTGAATTTTCCTATGCTAATAATATTAAAAAAAAATTAATTATTAATTAATTTTTTGTAAATTAATTGAAAACATTTATTTGATTCAAATAATCAGTTATATATTTGACTAATACACGGAAAAGTTAGTCTCTATAAAACTGATTTTAGGAAATACACAAATTGGACTTGTAAACACTACAAAAAATTTTGGCACCCGCAAAAATTTGTTGTGGTTGCCACAATAAAATTTTTTCCGTTTATTATCAAATAAATGTTTATTCGTATTAAATAAATTATTATTGGAGTCAATTAAATGGTATTTATTACAAATACTTTAAATACTTTAAATTAACATTTTATTTCTAATGAAAATTATTGTAAATCAAATGCAAAAATTGCAATCCATTCTTTTAACAAAAAAAAAAACGAATATATATATGTAAAATGCCAACGAAATTATATAGATGAGTTTTCGAGTGAATTCGTATATATATGAAAATTAAATGCAATGTCAAATACAATAATTCTATTATTTGAAATGACCCTCCGGTATATATATATATATATATATATTGAAGGATTACAGACAAATACGCATGGAATTATGAATGATGGATTAGCAGTGAAGGTAACATTGATATGAAATAAAGTTTTGTCCCTGACAGATGGGTTGGTTATTTTGTATTAATCCTACAATTTCCAACCTATATATATTTTCATAACGAATTTATACCACTATACGGAAAATTTTTATATGTATAAAAATTACCAATACAGTCGCAAAAATCCCATAAAAAAAAATTTTATTTGATTCAAATAAACGCGGTTACTTGATTATTATAAAATAAATATTTACTTGAACGAAATAATTTTTATTTGATTTAATTAAGTGGTATTTGTTTTAAATACAGAAATTATTGATTCAAATACAGTTTATTTAATGCAAATAAAAATTATTTGGATTAAGTAAATATTTATTTGATAATAAGTAATCGAGTATTTGAATCAAATACATTTTTTTTTCAGTGTATACACATACCAGAATTATTGTTATTATAATTATTAACATAATTACAATTTTTAAAATTACTATATATATAATTATTTCAAAAATTAAAAAATATAAATTTAAAAACAGTTTAATTTAAAAAATTAATAAATTAAAAAATTGTTATAAATTTTTTTTTTTTTTTAGTGAAAAATTACGGAAATTTAAATATTATTTTGTAAATAATTAAAAATGTATTGGTGTTGTATCATTAAATGTATATATATAATGTATGTGTCTATCAGTGGATTCTCACTCCATAAAGCTTAGTTTGCAGAACGATAATTGAGATGTATATACATGAAAGGGATTCCCATCACTATCTATATACCATATTTGCAAAGTGAGCTGTAGATCATGAAAATCAATTCAACTTTTATATATACACTTTGATGTGTAACATATACCAATATGAAATATCCGCTTACCTCTTTTTATTTGCAAAAATTAAATATTTATTTTCAATAAAATTCAAATTATTTCAATTATTATATTATTATATTTAATAATTTAATAATTTAATAATTTAATAATACAGTATAAAAAGAATAATTTAACAATATATTAAATTTACTAATTAATAATAATTTAATAATTTTTATTAATTAAATTAATCATTATTTTGAACTGCGTCGAAAAATTTCAATCTTTTAAATTATTAATTAATTTTAATATATTTAATTATTAATTAAATTATATTTGGCAATGTAAAAAATGTTTTTTGAATTAATAATTTTCATAACAATTAAATTATTTAATAAGTCCAAACAAAATTGATAAATTCTAAATTAATTAGGTTTAAAAAAGAAATTTTCTCTTAATAAATGATAATTTAAATACACTCTCTATGAGAAAGAAATAATTAATATAAAATAATTTAGTAAATTATTGAATTAATCAATAATCTTCTTTATTAATGAATGATATTCATTTTCAAAAATTCAAAAAAAAAAAAAACGCGCCACATTCTACTTTATCGGCCGTTGATTTGACCTTAGTTACCAACCGTCTGAAATTGGAAACTTGAACTTTAATCTAACCTCAAAAATTTATAATTAATAGACGGAGAACATGTTTTTTCTCTGTTCTTATATTTTAATAATGTAATGTGATATTGTGCCAATTAATTTTAATAAATGTACATTGTGTTATTGAAGCTGTACATTTGTCTAATTCTTTAAAACACATAACGTGATGAATGTGATAAATTAAATAATTGCTGTTCATAACCCTACCCCCTGTGAATATATTTCCATTTGTCATTAAAAAAAAAGGTAATATTAATTATGCTTTTATTTATACTCAATTTTTTCCTTATTTTGATTGAAATAATTACGTTTAGAATGTAAATTTTCTTAATGCTTAAGAAATTGTTTATAAGATTTGATCATTAAATTGTTGGCTGATTATTTACGAATTAAATATTTATTAGAATTTGTATTCAACAAACAAATTAAAAGATCAATGTTAAAATTAATAACCAATGTGGAATTATAATTAATAAGAATTTTATTATCAACAGGTATTTTCAATTATGCAAGGAAGTGACATTTCTTATCTCCTGACAGGAGCAATTTTCTATATTTTTGGTTTAATTTGGTGTTTTGAATATGCAATCTTCTGTTCACCTGGCAGACAAACTACACTCGATGGACGTGGTTCATCGCGAAAAAATGGACGATTTAGAAAAATATTCTCACGTTATCCATTGGAGGGTGTTTTAAAATTAATTGCCACTGTTATTGGTCTCACTGGAACATTGACATATTCACCAAATAATGGAATTATTTCAGCCAAAGTTAGATATGCAACGATATATCTTTTTTTTGCATTCTCCGGTCTAGTCGATGTATTTAATTTTTATTTTCCACACAATTTTAGTAATGGCCTCGTTAAAATGGGTCTTGCACAAAGTTTTTTTGTCGAAGGCTTTTTATTTTTGTGGGCAAATATTGGTGATAATTCAATGGTCGATGCAATTCTCGCTGGAATTGTATGGATGTCTGCATTGTCAGTGACATTGGAAATAATTTGGCCGGAAATCAAATTATTAACCGGTGTAACAACATTATTGCATGGAGCATGGATTGCTCATATGGTACGTGGTCATGGTACAAATTTTTTGACATCTGAAGAAATTGCTGTTAATTTCTCGTGGCATATTGCTGTTGCTTCAACTGTTACACTTTGTATTGTTGGTATTACTCGATGTTCAACTCCTCGTTTATCGCGTGAAATTCCACCGGAAATTCCAATTTATGATTATTGTCAGGAACCGAGTCGTTCATAATAAATTGACAGTTGAAACGACAATGCCAAATATAGTCTTCCGCGCAAAAAATCGGTTTTTAAAAAAAAAAATGATTCAGGAACTAAAAAAAGAGATTGATCAAAAATGTTTGAGTTTTAAATCATTTTTAATGACTGATTTTTGATTTTGCCTATTGACGCTTTCTTTTAAATGAGATTATGATAAAATAAAAATTCTCAGTATTTTAAGGTTCGATAAACTAAGGAAAAGATGTGTGTGAAAAGAATTTAAATTTAATAACTGCCATTCTTTTTTTATAATGAAACTCTTTTTACTGATTTTTTACTTTTAGGTATAATATTAAATATACCAGTGATTAGTCTATGTTTTTTTTTTTTTTACCGTGACGAAGTAGATTTATAAATATTTATTTCGATTTTTATCCGCTCTACAAATTCTTGTAGTTTACTGTTTCTATTTATTTAATGTGATCAAACTAGCCAATTAAAATAATTTCTAATTGCTTTAATTAAATGATAAGTAGTTTGTAATTTTCACATTAGTGCCACAATTTTAATGATCAAATTCTTTGGGACTATTTTTTATTTGCTCTTATTGTTAAGTAAAATAAATTTTATAATTTTTTTTTTTTTATTATAAAAATTATTTTATTGTACAATTATAATTATTATAATTTAATAATTATAATATAGTAATTATATTTTAAAATTATAGAATTATGGCAGCGTTAATGTCAATAATCTGCAACGAAATATACTCTGTGCCTTTCTAGTGCCTTGTGATTCTTAAAATAATTATACACTATTTTTATCACATGACAACGAATATAAATAATCAATATCTTGTTTTAAACACTGACAATATGTATTTTCTATTATCTGTGTACTATTTTCTATGGAAATATATTCTTGTCTAATTAATATTAGATTTCAAATTTTATTTTAGAGTATTTAAAAAAAAAAATATTTTTTACGTCACTCATTTATTTTAAATTTGAAAGAAAATTCAACTTACCCAATTTTTGTTTAAAATTAAACGATATTTTGAAGCCATATCAGATTCCCTTTTTAAAATTTTGATCCTGCAAACAAATAATATTGATTAAAATTTGGTACAATAATAATTTTTTCTAATCTAATAATTAATATTGTGTAATATATTTGTATTATTATATTTTTAATATAATCATATTATATGAAATGAATATGTATTATTTAAATATTATTTGTATGAATTAATAATTAACAATAAATTATATTTTAAACATTTCAGTGCACACCAAATTTGAATTTAGCGCTTGGCGTTTTGTTATCCAATCAAATGACTTAAAGTTTTGAACTGTGATTGGCTAAGCGAATTGGAAACATCAGAAATTCCGCTAAAGAGCGGAAAGTCGGGGAAACTCCTGTCAAAAATTAATCCCGTTTAGTGATAAATATTCGTTTTGTAATGTCATTTTTTACATTTTACACAAATTAACGTACAATATAATCAACGTGTTTGGAATTTATCAAGAAAATTGTAAAAAATTCTAAAGAAACAATTATATTTACAATTTAATTAAGATGGTAAGTTATCGGCATTTGAGGTTAGGAACGCCTTTCACAAACATAACTTGTCTTTTTTGCATATAATTAATCATTATTTACTTATTGCATGTGAAAAACAATGAAAGAAAATTTAAATTCCTTTCATTGTTAATAATTTATTTTTATTTTCCAATGAAATATTTTATTATTTTGACATTTCTGTGCATGAGTCGTCTTTTTTTTATGCTAGTGCAGTAGAATGTGTCACAATTGTTTTTTCAATAAAGAAATAATCTGTTTTTTTATATAATTTATAATAGTAATTATTAATAATGATAAATAAGTAATAATATATTAATATTTATATAATTCGTTACTCTTTTTATTACATTGACTTACTCCAAAAAAAATTATTTCTTAAATTTTCTTTTTTAATTCAATTTTTGAAATGAAAATATATTTTTTCATTAAATAATATTTTATTTTTATTTAATTAAAATACTTTTTTTACAGTCTGGATCATTGAAACCATATTTAACAGCCGTAAGGAGAACATTGACAGCAGCAATGTGCGTGGAAAATTTTTCATCTCAAATTGTCGAAAAGCACAATAAACCAGAAGTGGAAGTAAGAGCAAGCAAGGAACTTCTCTTAACTCCAATTCTCATCAGCAGAAATAACAAGGAAAAGATTTTAATCGAATCAAGTATAAATAGCATGAGAATTAGCATTGCTGTTAAACAAGCTGATGATTTGGAAAAAATTCTCTGTCACAAATTCACTAGATTTATGATGATGAGAGCTGAAAATTTTATGATTCTACGTAGAAAACCCGTAGAGGTTGGTAATTTTTCTAAAATTCTTCATTAAAATAAATTGTTTCGTTGTTTTATTTATTCTTTTTTTTCACAGGGTTATGATATTAGTTTCTTGATTACGAATATTCACACTGAACAAATGTATAAACATAAAATTGTCGATTTTGTAATTCACTTTATGGAGGAAATTGATCGAGAAATTAGTGAAATGAAACTTTCCATGAACGCAAGAGCTCGTACGTGTGCAGAAGAATTTTTAAAGAAGGTAAATTATAATTTATTTGTCAGTTTTCTATTTTATTATAATTTTAATGTCAAAATTTATAATTTTCAGTTCTAGTCGAAGGAGGAGTAACGAAAATGTAATATGAGTCATTAATCAATCAAGGAAAACGAATATCCCGTCGAATATTTTGTTCTCATCTCATTTTTTTTGCTACGTATTATTGATAACAAATATGCTCTAAGCACAAAGGCTATTTATAAGTAAGTTTTTTTTTTACGTTGGTGCAATTATAAAAATTAATTATAAATACTAGTTTTAATGTCCGTTTTTCTATATGACGAAAAAAAAACAAACACTTTTTTTGAAGAGTGAGAGAAAAAAAAGTACTACTATATTTACAGAAAGTGTAGCTAATTTTACTATTTTAAAATTAATATTCACCTTTTGAAATTTTGCACAGAGAACAATATTTTTCTTTGATTTTACAGAAATGTAGAATTTCTGTTACTGATTTTTTTTTCTTTTTATAAATAAGATCATTTCTATTCAAATTTACATGGATAAAACAGGGATTTAGCGATTTTAACACAGTATTAATGAATACAAAAAATATTTCGACTAAGGATTATAATGCCTGCACGTTACTTCTTTCAAACATTACTTTTTTTCCCAACGAATTGAGAGTTTCGAATTTTTGTATAAAAACAAAAACAAAAAAAAATGTCGAAAAAAATTTTCTTGCAGAAAAAAGAGTTATAAAAAAAAGCGGTAGAAAATAAAGTATTGAATTTCGCCTGTTGAATGCTATAAAGGAGTAATTGAAAAAAAAATAATTGTAATTATGAAAGATAAATGAAAGTTGATGTGAGCGAATTGTGAATGGGGATAAATGAAAAATGTAGTTTTCATTAATACAATTGCTCAATTATATTTGCAATTGCTGATAAATTTAGCTTACTCAATATGCCGATTTGTATAAAAATTTTTTTTTTTTTTTTGATTTTAATGTCAAAGAGGTCACAAAACATCGTTGAAATTCAAATTCAAGATAGATGTCATCATATTAACTGCCAAAACTAATGAAAAAAAAAAAAATCATTTATATTATAAAATTTAGAATTAGTAAATTAATTAAATATAGTTAATTAATTATACTGAAACTAAGATATTGGTTAAGGTTCGCAGTCACAGTTTTAAAATTGTTACTGCTAAATTTTAAATCTCTACATCTATATCAACGTCTTATATTTATAATAAATTTCGAATTAGCAATGATTTAATTCATTTTCCATTGCCTAGATCCGATGAGATAATTTTTTTGAAAGTGGGGATTTTTTTTTAATTAGTTTTTTTTTTATAGATATTTATATTTTTTAAATAAAGGGATAGATTTAGTTGTCTTTCGACTTTAAATGTATCTTTGTATACTTCAATGTAAACACAGATTGAGATGCAGGTATAAAGGTAATAAAATCCCAACATCGCTTCAATCAATTTTAAATAGAAATTATAATTTTTAAATATTATTTCTCTTATTTATATTTATATATATATATAATAATATTTAAAAATTATAATTTCTATTTAAAATTTATCGAAGCGATGCGTTGGGATTTTATTACCTTTACACCTGCATCCCAATCTGTATGTTTACATTGAAGTGTGCTGTTAGCCAAAGGTCATAGCAATTAAAAATCCTAAAGGTTATTTAATTAGTTGCAATTTGTGTATTGACTTATTAAGATGTGTTTAATAAAAGTGTGAATTTTTCTAATTTTTAATTTTTTTTTTACATTTACAGTGAGAATATCTTCGGGAATGGTTGAATTATTTAGTTCGCGAACGAAAAAATTTTTGTGTCTTCGTAATTTTTATTTTTTTTTTTTCAATTCCGGGAGTGCTCGAAATTCTTAAAATCGCGACCGTTTAAATATTTATTTAAAAAAAGTATTTTAATTATTAACGTGCGCTTTAGGGAGTGTTCGAAATTTTTTTAAATCGCGTGTGTTTGAGGTACATTTCTTCTCATTGTCCTGAAATATCTGATACATCGCTTCCAGACAAAGGTTAGAGATTTTTATTATTTAAATATTAATTTTCTTTTGAAACTATATATTTTATAAAATATTTGTTTTATTTAAATATTTTTAATTCAAATTAAAAAAATGGGAATCACAAAAAATTCCCCCCCCCCCCACAGAAAAAGTGAATAATAATCAATTGACAAAGTTAGGAAATTTTTTTTTTCGAAATATTTTACGAAGGGAATTTTGGTAATCGATTCTGAGGATAATTATTGAAAGAAAATATAAAATTGTGATCGCTCAATTTAGAAATGTAGGAAATATATAGGAGTTCAATGTAATAATTATTTTATATTTAAAATAAATGTAAAATCGAGTAGCAGCAGGAGGATTCGTTTGGTACAACAATCTTTTAATCGTTATGCACAACAGGTCTTTGCGAACGAACTCCGCCTCACGATGCGACCGATAATGTATATGTATATATATTTATTTGTGTGTATATATACAAGACTGTGTGCATATGAAAAGTCACCTAAGACGAACGTTGTTTACATGAAAATATCATGGCTCGAATTTCCTGGCCGAGTGCCTTCTTCGAAAAGGAAAGAATCAAACAAACGTTTTACAATTACTCTCATACTATTTCTCCTCTGTGGGTAGGGTCTATCAAATGGTCAGTCAGTGTTCAATGTCTCTTGTCAGTGTCAATCGCGAATTTTCCCGCAAGTATCTCAAAATAATTCCAGTCGCGTTGCATTTTTTCTAATTACACTTTCCACGCGTTACAATTTAATTGCATTTAAATAATTAGATTTTGATAATTGAATTGACAAAAATTTGAAAAAAATGAAAAAATTTATTTGTTTCTACTAATAGATTACTTGACTATTAACAAATAAATATTTTTATTAATTTATGTTTATTAAAAATTAAATATTATTTGACAATAAAATTTATTTGTCTCAGAATCTAATATATATTTTAATTGTTTTTAAATAAAATATTTTCTTTGGTGCAAGTAAAAGTTTATTTAGCGCAAATAAAATTGTTTTTTTTTATTTAAATCGAATTTTATTTGAAATAAATATTAATTTGACTCTTGAGACAAATATAATATTTTTTTTTGCTAAATTTAAATTAAATTTAGAAATTAGTTAATTTAATTTATTGTGAATGATAAAATAATAATTTCTAAATTTTGTTATTAATTTTTTTGAAGAAGATAATCTTTTTGAATTTTGTGCAAATTATAATTTCTGAAAATCTTCAATTCATACTTTTTGCTTCTTTTTGCTAATTTTTTTTATTATTGAAAATATGTTTATTTTGAGCTCAGGGGAAATATTTAAATTCTTACTAAAATCAAAATTTGTTGGCAATTCTGAATTTATTTGATTCAAATAAAAATTATTCGATACACTGAAAGAAAAAAAAATATTTGATTTAAATACTCGATTACTTAACTGTTATCAAATAAATATTTAAAATAATTTTTATTTGAATTAAATAAATTGTATTTGAACCAATAATTTATGTATTTGAAATAAATACAATTGGCTCGAATAATAATTATTTGATACAAATAAATATTTATTCAAGTAATCGAGTATTTGAATCAAATAATTTTTTTTCACTGTACAAATAAAATTATTCGATACAAATAAATAATAATAATAATAATTATTATTATTATTATTATTATTATTATTTGAGATGATATTTGTTTAAAATACAGAAATTATTGGCTCAAATACAGTTTATTTAATTCAAATAAAAATTATTTGGTTCAAGTAAATATTTCTTTGATAACAGTCCAGTAATCAAGTATTTGAATCAAATAATTTTTTTTTCAGTGTATCGAATAATATTTATTTGAATCAAATAAATTCAGAATTGCCAAAAAATTTTGTTTTTAGTAAGAATTTAAATATTTCCCCTGGGCTCCAATGAAAATTATTAGGTTCAAGTAAATATTTATTTGATAATAATCAAGATTATTTGAATCAAATAATTTTTTTTTCACTGTACAAATAAAATTATACGATACAAATAAATATTTATTTTTATCACAATATTATTATTATTATTATTATTATTATTATTATTATTATTATTATTATTATTATTTGAGATGATATTTGTCCAAAATACAGAAATTATTGGCTCAAATACAATTTATTTAATTCAAATAAAAATTATTTGAAATATTTATTTGATAACAGTCAAGTAATCGAGTATTTGAATCAAATAATTTTTTTTTCAGTGTATCGAATAATTTTTATTTGAATCAAATAAATTCAGAATTGCCAAAAAATTTTATTTTTAGTAAGAATTTAAATATTTCCCCTGGGTTCCAATGAAAATTATTTGGTTCAAGTAAATATTTAATTGATAATAATCAAGATTATTTAAATCAAATAATTTTTTTTTCACTGTACAAATAAAATTATAAGATACAAATAAATATTTAATTCTTATCACATTATTATTATTATTATTTAAGATATTTGTTTAAAATACAGAAATTATTGGCTCAAATACAGTTTATTTAATTCAAATAAAAATTATTTAGTTCAAGTAAATATTTATTTGATAACAAGTAATCGAGTATTTGAATCAAATAATTTTCTTTTCATTGTATAGAATAATTTTTATTTGAATCAAATAAATTCAGAATTGCCAAAAAATTTTGTTTTTAGTAAGAATTTAAATATTTCCCCTGGGTTCCAATGAAAATTATTTGGTTCAAGTAAATATTTAATTGATAATAATCAAGATTATTTGAATCAAATAAAGTTTTTTTTTTTTTTTTTTTTTTGCAGTGTAGGAAAAAGAAAAAAAAAGAAAATTCTCGAAAAAAGAAGGGTGTTATTTTCTTTAGCAGTGCGTGATTTTATTTTCTCGTTTTCAACACAGTAAAGTCGCGGAAATTTTTTTTTTTTTTTTTTTTCCATCAGAAAGTGCGAGTGTGTGGGCCACGAGTTTGCGCGAGATTAGAGAGCTTTTACGCCGACGCCGACGCATCATCAAAAGCTTCGAGTCGGCGTAGTCTGGGACCTGGCGTCTCCCCGTTCGGGAAATAGGGAAACGGAGACAAAAGAGAGAGAGAAAGAAGAAATTTATTCGAAAAACGGGAACGAGACAACGACGACCAAGAAAACGCTAGTCGAGTGAGGAGTGTGGCTCGCGTTAGATAGGATGCGTGTGCCTGGGTGCGGTGTGCCACCACCCAACAACAATAACAACAATCAATTCACAATAAATAAAAATAATAATAAAAATCATCAAAAAAATAATAAAAGTCAAAATATCATTAGAAAGAGTCAAAAAATTTTTAGGCTACATCAAGTGATCAGTGATCACCATTTAAGGCGGGAAAATAATCATCATTATCATCAGATTCAATATAAAAATTTTGGAGAACGTCTCGATTTTCAAATTTTTCGAATTTCGAGAAAGGAAGGACATTTTGATCCTTCCGCGAGAAAAATCCTCGGGATTCGTGAAAATTGCATCACTACGTCCATTATTAAATATTGTGAATTGAGTTAATCATCATTAAAAAAAAAAAAAAGAAATACTAATTGGAGGGAGAATTTTTTTGGTCCCTTCTTTATCGGGACCAAAAAAAAAAAAAATTCGCGGGGCCAATTTGAGTCAATTATTTCAATTTGGCATCCACGACGTTTAGAACGCTGAAGCTCCAGGCTCAGGAGTGTCATCCAGGTGTCAACCGGCATCAGCCTGGACCACCACCGTCCCAGCTACTCATGTTCATCCCGGATACTCTGAGGAGCTGCATGGTGGAACCGGATGTCTCGACTTACCTGCAGGCCCCTTCCGTAGGACAGGTGCTTTGATTTTATATTAATTTTTGCTTTCCCCTGATTTTGCTTTTATTGAAACAAAAAAAATGATTTGAGATTAATATTACTTCATCAAAAAGGAAAATTCTGTTCTCTTTGTTTCGTTTTGTTTTATTTTCATTTTTTTTTCTACGGAAAAAAATAAATTTGCCTGGAACTGCAATAAAAATTTCACTCGAATAGCAATATTTGTTTCAGTTAAAAATCTTCTATTTTTTCTAAAACCTTGTTTCAAATGATTTTGTTTCCGTAATTACAATTTTTAGTGACAATTATTGTCAATGTTGACAATAAAATTTTAAGTTGATTTTTTACTTTTTAGGAGGAAAAATATTTTTTTTTTTATTAAAACTGAATCATTTTGATTAACATATCGTTTCTTTATTGCTGAATGGCTTATGGCGAAATTTTTTCTTTATATTGGTGCTATAGAGAATTTTGATAGCTTCTTTTAGTTATGAATTTTTTGAAAAAAAATCCCAAATTTCGATCTTTTTTGGAAAAATTTAGAAAATTTCTTCTTTTGATTTTCATGTTGATAATCATTTGTTTGATGCATAAAAATTTTGTCAATTTCTTTTTTTTTTGTAATTTCCAAGTTTATCAATATCGAAGTTCTTCTCTTTTCCCCCCCCCCCACTTGATTTATCATGTTAGAAAATATTAAATTCGAAAATTTATTCTTTCGCAAGTTCCGAATTATTTCATCAATAGATCGAGAGTAAAAATTTTTATTTCTAAATTCTAATTTCTTCTTTAAATATAAAATTAGATAAATAATTAAAATAATTTTTGTTACACTAAAAAAAAAAAAATTTATTTGATTCAAATACTCGATTACTTGACTATTATCAAATAAATATGTATTTGTATCAAATAATTATTATTTGAATCAATTAAATGGTATTTGTTACAAATACAGAAATTATTGGTTCAAATACAATTTATTTGATAATAGTCAAGTAATTGAGTATTTGAGTCAAATAAATTTTTTTTTCAGTGTATATTTGAACCAAATATAGTGTATATTATATAATATAATTATATAATATAATTCCAAATATATTATATAATAATAATAAAAATAATAGAATGAATGATACTATAATGTTACACTGAAAAAAATTATTTGTATCAAATAAAATTTTTTTTATTGTACTATTATTATTATTATTATTATTATTATATTATATATATAAAATGTGTACCAAATATATAAACATAAATTGAAAAATTTCTTTCTGCAAAAAGAAGAAAGTAAGATGAATTTAGGGAAAGAATTTTTTTTTTTTCAAATTGCTTGACGGTTTTTTAAAAAATCGGAAGATTATTAAGGTATACAGACAGCTGAACACGTACGAAGGACACTTATACAATATCATGAATGCACGCAAACCTGTCCAATTGTTCCGCGTGCTTGTCATCCCGATCGCACGTTTATTTTATTTTTCTTTAAACCCCCGCTCCCCTACTTGGAAGTTTCATTTGATTTTTTTTTTTTTTTTTTTTTTTTTTTTGCATAGTGTAGCAATCACACTATACAGTATATACTGTTACTGTATAAATTATTGTGATAAAAGAAGATCACTTTATTATGAAAGAGAAAAGAAAAAAAAAAAACTTTAACAACTTGTCCCAAATCCAATCCGACGGCAATTGCAATTAAAAGAAAGGGTTTTTAATTCCCTCAAATGTTTTGCAATCACGAAAGCGAGAAACTTTCTTTTTTAATATATATATATATATATATATAGCGCATCAGCAGTATGTACATGGCGTGGAGAGTCTAATCTGCAAATTAAGTTTGGGTTTTAATTTTTCACTCGTCGCAAAAAAAAAATGATACGAATAAAAAAAAGTAGCAGTATTACAGTAAAAAAAAAAAAATGAGAGAAAAGTAGAAAAATATTTTTTAATATTTTCAGGAATGATATATAAATACATAAATGTAGAGAAATCTGGAATGAGGGGTAAAAAAAGATTAAAAAGAAGGAAATGCGATGAGTATTTTTTTATTGAAATAAAAAAATATATTTAAATAAAAAAAAATTAGTAAAATAAGTTAGTGACGCACAGAAAAAAGTGGGAAAATCAAAAATTTTTCATTTGATTGCAAATTCAATTTGGTTTGAAAAAAATATTTATTTTTTTTTTTATATTTTATTCGAATGAATATAGTGATACGGCTTTTGATAAACAGTGTCCAATGAATATTCTATTTTATTTCGATTGACGGAAAAGTTGCATCGATATATATATATATATTTGAAAAAAATTGTTTTGTTTTGATAGAAAATATATTCCTTTTCACATTTTGTATAAAATTTCTTGTTGCAAAAAAAAGATTGCTTTTCTCACGCCTATCGATTTGAATTTGATTTCAATTTGAAATATAAAAATAAATTGGAATTTTTTTGTCGAATTTGTTATTTTACAAAACTTTTATGTGCAAAAATTTCACGAAGCTGAAGTACGCAACGTTTATATAAACGATTTTTATAGAAATAATTTTTTAAAATGAAAAATTCTATAATTTTTTGCCTAAAAAATATTTTTTTTATAATTTGTTGATTAATTAAAACTACAAAAAATATTGTTTAGGCAAAAAATTATAAAAATTTTCATTTTAAAAAATTATTTCTTTAAAAATCGTTCATATAAACGTTGCTTCGTAAAATTTCGCGAATTTAGAATTAAAAAACGGGATTTAAAAAATCTGATAAATTTATGGTTAATAAAGAACAATTTATTATAATTAATGGATTGTAAATAAATATTTACTTGTTTCAAATAATTATATTTGAGTTAATTGATATTTGAAACAAATAGAGAAATCATTGGTTGAAATACATTTTTGATAATTCAATTATTTCAAAAATTAGTTGATTGAAGTATAAATATTTATTTGAGTCAAGTAAACGATAAATTTTTTTTTCTAGTGTACCATACACGAAGTAGATATACAAATGAAAGTTCATTGTCCTCTCTCTCTCTCTCTCTCTCTGTAACCCCGCGCGCGTCATCAGCAAACATAGAACAGTCATTAGCGCGTCGTACACGACATTTATTTGGGGTGGTGCATATCCTCTTTTCTTTCTCCTTGATATACCTTAAGCATATAAGCTTCAAACGTTATTTTCCTCTGCCTTTGACTATACAACGTTTGCATAATATTATACAGCTTTCCTCAAAATTAGATTTGAATCCAAACATTTCAGCTTTGCATAAAACAACATCTAACAACTAATAATCGCATAGTTATTACCAAAACAATTTAAAAGCTTTTCTCTATATATATATATATTATATGTATTTTAGCACTTCCCGTATGAATAGATTTTATCTTCCACGGGATAAAAATCAATAAACTAATCAATTATTTTAGAAAATATTTTATTTTATTCTTTTTCGGATCTTAATTTGAAATAAATATTTTTAAATTTATGGCCTTAGGTCCGTAAATATTTTTTGAAAGTAACAAAATACATTAAACGAATTTTCATAAAATTCATTTTTTTTTAATGCAGTGAATTTTCTACTTAGCGGAATTTATTATTTTATTTTTATAATTAGGCAGAATTTTGATTTTTAAATTAAAAAAAAAAAAAATAATCGAATATGTAGAAAAATCGCAGTCATTCAGAATTAATGTTACTTTGCCTTAAGGGGAGTGACAATCTTCATTTTGAATCCTTTACATTTTCATGATCGTAGAAAGATATGTCTTTTTTTCTTGCGCATCATTTGGGTCCTAAAAACATACATTTTAAAATATTTTAATAACATTTTCATTATTTTTAACATTAATTATTATTTATTAAATTTAATATTTAAAAAAATTCTTTTAAAAATTTTAAATTAATAACTAAGTCAAAAAAAATTAAATTTTTATTTTTGACCATTTTAGAAATTAATTTCTTTAAAAAATTAAGATTTTAAATATATCTATCTTCTTTCTCAATTTTGACTATTTTTCATCGCCAATTTTTTTCCACGCTTTTTTTTTAATGATTCTTAAGAATCTCTCGCATGGATTTTCAAAAATTTAAATTTTTTTAAAAAAAGAAAGAAAAATATAAGTTAAAACATCATTGAACTCTTTTATTAAACTGTTTTTTCTATTACAATTTTAAGTATTTTTTATTGTCAAATTTTTTTCACACTTTTTTAATAATTCTTTAAAATCTCTCGCATGGATTTTCAAAAATATTAATTTTTTTAAAAAATAAAAATTCTAAAATGGTCAAAAAATAAAATTTTCCTTTTTTTTGACTACCTTATATGTTTTTAGGACCCAAATGATGCAAGAAAAAAAAATATAACCTCGTTTAATAATTTAAATTTAAGTGGGGGTCAAAATAAAGTTTGTGACTCCCCTTAAGAAGGGACAATTAGAGAAATTTTTACTCTTGCAAAAGTAATATGAGTAGTAAAAGTAATTTCCAGTCAGACGACACGGTTCAATTTTTCTAAATTTCCTACAGATGATAAAACTATTAGTCAGACATAGTTTTGATTTATGGTATGTAATTTTGCCGTTATCAGTAGTAAGAGTTTATTTTAGTCAGACAGTACAGTTTAATGTATTTTTAATAGTAGAAAAATTCCTTCTTAGAGAGACTTGTTTTTTTTTCGTAATTTCGTAGACAGTAGTACAACGGATGCTATGAGCTAGTTCCAAATAAATTTTGGATTTTTTTGAATAATTTTCGATTTTTGAGATAATTGTTCGGGAATACCATATATATATATATATATATATATATATATATATATATTGGCGTAATTAATTTTTTTTAATTACGTTAATATTGTTAAAAATTTGCGTAATCCTTCAAACAGGATTTTTCCGAATTGCATTTTTTTTTGAGTAGTATAAGTAAATGATTCATCGGACAGAAAAATGTTTCTATATAGTAATTGAAAATAAAACGAAAATTTGATCAGCTTTATAATGGTCTTGAAAAACGAAAATCTCTATTTTG